TGTTGTTGTTGTTGTTTTTCTCTCCCTAGTGTGATCTGGACAGTTTGAACAAAAAAACATTGCAATGCAATATGTACAGAAACATTCTCAGCCTAACTAAGAGATTCCAAATTAAATTCCAATGGTTAGTTATTCCATCAGATTTGAGAAGTTGGTCAGGCTGAGAACTTTTCAGTTTCTTTTTTTTTTATTTTATTGTTATTTAAAGAAACAAAAATGGCAACAGACACACATGATTGATTTGTTTTCTACAGCTTGCTAGAAAAGCCAGAAAATATTTTTAGGTAAGAATTTTATTTATTTATTCATTTTTTTTTTTTGAGATAATAATGGTTTAGTGATATAAATTTTAGTAATTACCCTATAGCAGGAGGGAGAAGTGAATTCAATATTAATATGAATTTGAAAAACAAGAAATTATAATGTGGATATTAGGTGGGAGAGCAACTCTATATTAGAGTCAAGTGGGGTATTAATTCTATATTGCTATCAATATATAAACTGATCCATCACTTTGTGGCCACGGTAATTTCTATACATTTATATACCTGCAAATGTAAATAAATCTAAAAGACATGTGCCTGTGTAGCTGATCAGTATTTGATGATTCATTTTTTTTTTTTTTTTTTTTGAAGATAATGATTTACTGCTGCAAGTCTTACTACTATGGGCAGAAAAGATGGAATCATGTTTTTCCCAAGGCTATTTGTGCATAAGTGAATGTAATGAACGCAACTGGAATTGGAACCTGGCTCTCCGATTAACAATTCCAAACTATCATCCATTACACCACCCACACAGTCAAGTTTACAGCACCTGGTATTTCCAGTTGGTCACCCAACCAGGTTTGACATTACTTAAACTTTGGTGATCATACTTAAACAGATGTTTTAACATGAAGTGGCTGTAAGCAGACACACATGAGCATCAGTAGGAAATACAACAGTGCACAAATGTGTCATGTGATAGTAAACACAGTATTAGTTTGCTGTGAATAGAATGTTGCATTTTTCAGGAGGAAAACCAGTTTGAATATAAACAACATATGCCAAGGTATAAAGATTGTCTGTCAAGATAAAAACCCACCACAAAACTAATTCTTTTATTTAATCAAACATTTGAACAAGTCCATCATCTTAACTGCTATGCAATATAAATTAAATACAATATTCCAATGGACCTAAATGAATGCTAGTAACACTAAAATAAAAACTATTTTATACATGGGGGGTGGCCAAACTTAAGGTAAGAGCAACATATGAAGTAGTTCAGATGTTTGAGAGTCGCAAGACATGAACAAAATTTACACATGTGTTTTTGTTACATACACATTAACATTAAACTTACGTTTTAAACCAATGGGGTCTCAATTCACACTCAGTATATAATTAAAAAGCTGGAATATTTTTCTTATTTACCTTTTATATTAACTGTGATGAAAAAAGGAGCCCAGCCAACATATTTCTATAAACTGCATATTAAAGGTCAAATATGGCTTGCGAGCCATGGTTTGGCTACCAATTATACATCATAGTTTGTTTTTTTTTAATCATTTCCCTATCAAAGCAAGGCAATAAAGCCATCAAGGTGCAAGTAGTTACTGTTTGTGAAAGAACATGAGAAAAAGAAAAACATTAATCTTTAACACTTTGTAACTGTTTACTAAGCAAAAAGTTTGTTCTGCTACTTCAGATGATTTAGCAAACAATAGTGTGTTTGAATTTCACAGTTGTGTTGTCTTGTCTTGCTACATCAAGAAAATGACTGACTAAAATCAAGAACTAAGTTACTGCTATTTAGGGGCTACCATATACAGTGGAAGTGGAAGTAATATGTATGAATAATGCAGAGTGCTGAAGGAGAGAAAACAATAAAAGAACAGGAATTAAGAAAACAGAAGATAACACTTGATAATGCATTTAAATTTTTGAAAAGCAAAATTGATTGGGAAGTAGAAAGCTGTGAGAAAAAGAACTGTTAGCATAGAACGTCTGTTTACATCTGGCCATTTCAAATGGAAAATGATGAGACCTAGCTGCCTATCAAGTACTGCACTTAAATTCATAAAATCTATATACCATAGAGGAAAGTTCACTAGAACAATTACCATGAAAGTATTTATAGAAAAGGAACAGGGAAGCTACATTATAACGATGGCAATGTAACAGAAGCCAAGATACCAGGTCATGACCAATAACATTGCAGATTCTTCTTTGGATGTTATCAAGAACTTCTAGATATATAGCAGGAGCACCAAACCAGATACACAAACAGAAAACATTGTGAAGGAGTGGGAACAATAAAATAATAATCAGGACGACAGTGGATAATGATTAACATTGCATTGAAATTTTTGAATATCAAAGTTGACTGGAAAGCAAGCTGCTGGAAGACATTTTCACAAGTGAGAAATGTTAGAGAAGAAAATGTTAACATAGAACTTATTGTTACATTTGGCCATTGCAAGTGTAAAATGATGAGACCTACCTGCCAATCTAGTACTGCACTTAAATTTGTAAAGGTACCAAAGCAGAAAGCTAAGCAGAAAATTACCATGAAAGTCTTTATAGAAAAGATACAGGGAAATTATATTATGGTGCTGGGAAAGTGACTGAAGATACAGGCTAAATAAATCAATGGAAATACTCAATAATAAAGGAATATTCAATTTTGTTTGCTAAGGAACAAGCAGTAAACATTATTATTGTATAGGAATAAAATGCCATTGCTGACACTGTAGTTTGAACACAGATCACCAGTAAGCAATCATGGTTGATTCCATTATTAAATAAGTAGATCACATGATCGTAAAAGAAACATATAAATAGGAATTAGTGTCTAAGTGATTGCTATTCTCTATACTATCTACTATACTATTTCTCTATACTAGTCATTATACGAATTACTAATCGGTGATTAATATAGGGTGACCCAAAAATCGGGAATTTTTGAAGTGTGTATTGCCAGACATGAGCAAGTGGCAACACTGCAAAACAGTGACCTTGAGCAAGTAAACATTTCGCCATTTAGAATTCAAGATGAAATTGACAGTATCCCAGCTGAGATGTTGCAGAAGTCAATGAGGAATCTCAACAGCAGATTTCAAGAATGCATTCGTACAGGAGGACGCCATCTACAGGACGTCATTTTTAAAAAATGAAAATTCCATCATTGTTTCTTAAATGGCATGTTTTAAGGTTTCAATTACTATGAATAAAATATTTTTCTTCCATCACTCTTGGTTTTATTAGATTGTTAAAAAGTTCCCGTTTTTTTGGGTTACCCTATATTTGAACAAGTATTATTAGTATGAGTATTACTGAAGGTGTTACAACTACCAGTATCTGCGTTTACAAAGTCTTTTATACAACAAGCATTTTGGAAGTGATGACGAGCATTCATTGACCTAACGGAAGTTATGAGTGAGTGTCTAACATCATAACAAAATTGTCAGATGAAAGGTAACCTATAAAATTAGATTGGCTAATTCACACTCCTTCTACATCCTTTGAACAAGTGTAGGGGTTTATCTAGTTTCCTGTTATGATTGAGTTTCTGGTTCTTTCTTCAAAATTCTTCTCATTCTCTTTCGTTCTCAATAGCTCCTTGTATCTTAGTGGCATTACCATCTTGCTTGGGGCGAAATGATTTAAACAAAAAAGAAGAAAAACAACAACTTCTCTAGATTAGGTGTGTACACTGATGCATCCTCTAGGCAGAGTGCTTACCGAGACACAACCACTGGATGTCTATACAGACACAATCTCTAGACTAGTGGTTCCCAAACGGTGTGGCAGAAGAGGATATTAGGTGAGGTGGAATGATTGAAAGACAAATATTTAGAAAGTTTCAAAAAATTCATATGCTAAAATAAGATTTCAAATCTTATTATGGATTACTTGTAATTTCATGCACGAATCCCAGTATAAATAGTTATAATTATTAAACCAATTTTATCATTGTGATATATTTGCATTATATTGAGTATTAAGAATATAGTAACTAGGGTCTACAAATTGGAGGAGAGAGCTATCAATGAATCCGTGGTTATCTCCCTTTAATCCTCCCTCTGTGTTTTTTTTTTTCTTATTTTTATATGCACTTTTTATCACATAAAATTTGGTGAGGCACAAGCAAATTTTCATTCCAAAAATGTGTCCCAGAAAAAAATTGTTTGGGAACCACTACGGACAGGAGTCCAGGGGAATAGTGGAAGATCTCAAGAAAAATTGTTTGGGAACCACTACGGACAGGAGTCCAGGGGAATAGTGGAAGATCTCAAGAAAAATTGTTTGGGAACCACTACGGACAGGAGTCCAGGGAATAGTGGAAGATCTCAAGAAAAATTGTTTGGGAACCACTACGGACAGGAGTCCAGGGGAATAGTGGAAGATCTCAAGAAAAATTGTTTGGGAACCACTACGGACAGGAGTCCAGGGGAATAGTGGAAGATCTCAAGAAAAATTGTTTACCATAGACAGAAACATGCCTGATGAATTTAGCACAACATTCACTTGGAAAAACATGTAGTAATGTGATAGCCAAAAGTTTTCCCCATCTCAGAACAAATAAAAGGCAATGAATACATTTTATTATTATTTTTTAAGCAAAACAGTTGAAATAAAACAAATTTCTAGTCTCTTTTAAAAAAAAATTTATGTTGATTATTACGGTAAAAACCACTTCTGCCGAGACTTTGAGGAAAATAAATAAATAGAAAACAGTCTGCCATGAAGCTATAAAGAACTTCAAAAAATCTCATTTTGCCCATCTTCATGATTTAAGATCTAACACCAAGATTTGATCAAACCTTCCAACCTGCTCCACACAAAATCCTGCCATCTCCTCTAAATGCAGCTTGATGTGTAAAAACAGCAGCCGGACTGAAGTGCCATTTAAAAAAAAAAATGAACTGAAAAGCCCTCTCATGTCATATTGATGGGGGGAGAGTCTGATCATATATTTATAAATAAATCTCATAAGAAATTAAAACTACTTACTGCAGTATCAACATTGTCGAGGATAAGGTTTTCTAAATCGAGTTCCAATTCCTTTTCAAGATCAGAAACTGCCTGCTTTGATAACACTGGTTCTGCAGATACTTCCTTTGAGGAATCTTTCTTTTCTTCTTCAGCTATTGAATCAGGAACAACGGACTCTTTCTTTGACTGCACAAGAAGAAAAGGAAATTCTAAATTTAAGATAATTCAGATGCCAAATTTGTAATTTTAATCATCTGGTGGATCAAAGGAATGAGTAGAAATAGAGTCCCCCAAAATAGATTTTAAGAATTCATAGGAAAGGTTTGTGAATTCTCAACAATTTGATGGATTTGTTTTTACAGCTTATTGACCTTTTGAAGGTTATTTAAAACCAGAAGATATTTTTAAATTCTAATAATTTTTTTTGAGATAATGATTTACTGATTCCAGTCATACTAATCAAACTATAGCTTGGGGGAGAAGAGGTAGATTTATCCCTTTCCCAAGGCTTATTTGCACATAAGTGAATATAATGAACACGATTGGAACTCAGCTCTCAGAGTTCCAATCCTGAGCAGTTATCCATTATACCACTTGCACATCCAAGCTTACAGCACCTGGTATTCTCAAGCTGTCATCCATTTAGGTACTGACCAGGCTCGATTGGAATTGGAACTCAGCTCTCTGATTTCCGATCCTGAACTATTAACCTATTACAACACCAAGATTACAACACCTGGCATACCCAAGCAGGTAACCATATAGATACTAGCCAGATTTGACATTGCTTAACTTCAGTGATCATATGAGAACTGGTGTTTCCATGTGATATGACTAAGCTTTAAAAATCCAAGATTACTCATGTAGAAAATATAACCAATGTAATACCATTCATTTTTTAATGGTATGGATCAACTAGGATGTATATAAATCAACAGGGTAACAGTTGCTTAACTTCAGTGAGCATATGAGAACTGATGTTTCAATGTGATATGGCCACAAACTCCAACAACTACCAAACAGATTTTAGTAGAAGAACTAATTCATGGTGGCAAAAGAAGGTTTTGACCAATTTATTGTAATTGTTTCATGGATAGCATATTAGCTTGTAATGGCAACAGACAAGTGTTTAAGCCTTGCTGAGCTCTTTGGAAATGGAAGCTTATGCCAAAGTTTGGAGTGTAAAGAAATGGAAAAAATTACTTTAAAGACTAAATTTTTCAAAATACGAGAAAAACAGATTGTCATTTAAAGAAAAAAAAAAATTAATCTGTTAACCAAAACTTATTAAACTTCTTTACAAATAATAAAAGCATAACTCAGTTATCAGTCAGTCAAGTGCTATACATGATACACACTTGGGCAATCATGCCTCGTTTGATTCATGACAGTAGGTTCAATTAGTTTCTTTAATAGTCCTGATTCTAATCTAAATAATACTTAATTCAAAACACTATACAACAGAGAAATGACTCCTGAAAATGTCCCTTCGGAAAGAAGGGAACAAAAAATAAGAGAAAGGATTAGATTTATAAATAGAACACAATAAGGCATTTATTTAATATATATTATACACACACCTAGGTGTAACTGCAAAACTGTCCAATTGTTAGATTAAGCTTTGAACCATTGTAGCTTAGAGCTGATTAAAGATTCTCAGAGGCTTTTGTAACACTATTGGACTCTACTTTGTGCAATAAGAATGTATAATTACTCTCCAAGCTGAACAAAAGATTTGTGATGAAATTGATTATAAATGAAAATGACATGTTCATTATTAATTAATCATAGCTAAGGATTGGAAGCTCATGAAGGATTGAAATAAAATTCATATATATATATATATATATATATATTCTAGGATCATTTTCAAACTTATTCAAGATGATCTTCACATTCTCTAACCTAACTTTCACTACTGGAGTAACAGGGTGCCTCACACAGTTCACATATAATTTCATTTTCAAGTCTTTTTTCACTGCTCTTTCGACTGTCAGAGCTGAAACTTCTCTCATGTGCCAAATGTGTTATGGATTGAGTTGGATCTTTTCCAAGTGATCTCTTTAGCTCTAAGTTGAAATTATGATCTCTCTTCTTCTTGTGACCCCCTGATCCAATGTTCCCTCTTTTTTAAACTTATTCCCCATTCTCTTGAATGATTTTTGAATGGACTTTGAAGATGGAAGCCAGAGTATGAATGTTGGTACCATTACTGAAGGCCTGAATGATCTTTTTCCTCTCTCAACATTGCTCAGTTGAGAAGACAGTGGGGTTGACAAAATGATTTTAATCTGTTCCCTTTGTAGCTTAATAACTCAAATTTTTTTTCACTGATTCTTATGAAAAATGGTCTCAAGATAGCTACATGTCTTATCTGAGAACTTGAAAAAATTAAACTCCATTAGTTTAGTGTTTTTTTTTTACATATTAAACATTTTGTGGGATGGACAATTATACTGTTACACGATTTGGACAATTTTGCTGTTACACCCAGTGTGTGTGCATATAATACATACACACCCTTCCCACACAATAAAAAATATACTTTAAGGTATGGTATATATATATGAGTAACAAATGCTCAATATCAGGGATTGAGTGTGTGTAAATATAAAGTCAATACTGAGTGGCAACAGTTGGTTTCATGCTTGAACACAATCTTCAGACCATGTCCTGAAGATTGAGATTGTGTTTTAGTTTGAAAACAGACTGTTTCCACTCTGTGTTGACTTCAGTCTCCACTCTCTAATATATATTACACACACACACACACACGTGAGTGTGTGCATATACGCATAGGTTTGTGTGTGTGTGTTATTAATAAAAAGAACATTTTCACTGGTTCTAAATTTAATGTTATATTTTTAACAAAACTGTAACATAGTAAAAATTTTAAATTTATGATTAGTTTTTGTTTTAAATAGTATAAATATGATGAAATCTAATAATTTCAATAGATTTATTGAACACCTGGCTCCACTGAATATGATTTGATGCGAAACTCTTGTACTGGTCCATTGAACAGTGATTGATTTATTGATTATTGTTGCTCTAGTTATTTATTTAAGTTTTTGGGCAGAAACTGCTGACTTAAAAGATGTGTTAAATTTTCATAATTTTTATATATTGTTATATATATATATATATTATGTAGAAAGAAATATATGGCTGGCTACTCTTATCCGAGGATGCCTATCTGCTGGGTCAGTTAGCCAATCCCTGTTGACATACCTGCTCAGGCACATTTTTTCAACACCCACATAGCCCACCTGTGGTTTCTACAGCAACTATGCTAAGCGGATCTTTCTTACAGTTTCTGGGAGAGTATGCATTATCTAGCATGATCAACAGTCTGAACAAGGCCAACGCACTTAAACCCTCAGTCATGATGACTTGTGACTTTGTGCTAGCTCAACCAATGACAGATCCCCAAAGAGTTCCATCTACCCAATTTCACTCACAAGGCTTGGGTCAACCAGTGATCTGGTTTTCAGGCACTTTCCAAAGGTGCCACAAGCTTGGATCTCCTCCCCTAGACCGATAATACCAAGTTCCCTTCCTGATAAATCAACCATAATGCGATTCAAACTCTGGTTTCATAGTTAGAACCACTCAGCCATGTGCCCATAACAGTAAATGCACACAAGTTTTGTTAAACTGACAAAGTCTGTGTTTGTTTATTTTTTTTTTTTTTTTTTTATTAAACTGTCCAAAACACAACAAAACCTAAATTTTGGACATCTTATCCACAATTCTGAATTTGATACACATGATATTCAAAAATTAGTGGTGGGGGAGAAAATGAAAAAAACACCTGCCAGTAGAATTTAACAAAACTTGTTTAGTCAAATTCTTGCTGCCTAAAGCTACTACATATTTAACTTTAAGATGCCTGAAGATTGCAACTATAAGAAACTTCATGTTATGGAAGATAAGAAACAAGAAATTGGCTAAATAATTCATCATATTTTTTTTTTAGTGAGGGTTTTTACATATCTAATGAGAATGCAACATCCACTTACAAGCTGGTAATTATTAGGAATTGATTATAGCTTAAAGTGACTAAAGACTTTTGCACAGTACTGTATATATGGTAATTTTCTAAGCATAGCTTAGATGTGGCACAAGGCTGAAAGTATAGAGCACCCAGTGAGGATTGAAATCACTACTCAGTCATAATTGATCTAGCAAGACAAGTTTGCTAACCATTTAACCATGTAGAAGTGCTCTGATAATTTTCTAAGCATAACTGAGTTTGGCACAAGGCTAAAAGTATAGAGCACCCAGTGAGGATTGAACTCACTTTTCAATTGTAACTGATCTAGCAAGGCAAGTTTGCTAACCATTTAACCACGTAGAAGTACTCTAATAATTTTCTAAGCATAGATTAGATGTGGCATAAAGCTGAAATTATGGAGCACCCAGTGAGGATTGAACTCACTACTTAGTCATAATTGATCGAGCAAGACAATTTGCTAACCATTTAACCATATCAGAGTGCCCAATAGTGATTTAATAAAATGTAAGTTAGTTATGGCACAAGTCTGAAAAGAAACGGGATACACTGTGAGGATTTAACTCACTAATCAGTCATAATTGATCTAGTAGTTAAATCTCCAGCTGTTAAAAATATTTCTTTAATGGTGGTTGTCACACATCTAATGAAAATACAATGCTAAACAGCCACTGGCAATTATTCATTATAGTCTAAAGTGACCAAAGACTTTTGCACAGTACTGTATATATGGGTATGGTTAAAAAAAAACAAATTCCTGCAATTAAAAAATTATGAACAAATACATTTTTTTAAAATAAGTTATTAAATAAGTAACAAGATCTTTCATACTTGGCAAATTGAGTTTAGTAAGGTTAGATTCTATAGAAAAAGCATTGGCAGGGGAGATGATGGATGAAGGTTTGGGAATAACAATACCTTAATAACAAAATCTCCAGCTGTTAAAAATGTTCTTTTTGGTGAGGGTTGTCACGCATCTGATAAAAACGCAACGTGAAACATCCATTTATAAGCTGGTAATTATTAGAAGTTCATAATAGTTTAAAGTTACCAAAGACTTTTGCACAGTACTGCATATATGGATATGTGCAAAAGGACAAATTCCTACAATTTAAGAATTATGAGATAAACATGCAATAAATTTTCATTATAAACATTTTTCTATTTTAAAACACTGACTGGATTGGTTTATGCAAAGTGGTGAAAAATATTTGAAAGGAGTTTTTTTCTCCAGTGGGGGGGGAGGGACTTTATGGGTGTGTGTGTAAAAAACAAAATTTCTTCAATTTAACAATTATGAAATAATACATTTTTAAGAAAAAGTAAGATATATTATTAAACAAGAAGTTTATTCATACTTGGCAAACTAAGTTTTGTATGGTTAGGTCTTATATTATATAAAAATCATGGGCAGAGGAGATAGTCAATGGGGGGGGGATCACAAAACTCTAATAATGAAATCTGCAGTTGTTAAAAAAAAAAGTTAGTTTCAAATTTCTCCCTACTAGTGCAATATTAATAAGGAAAATACAAAGGTCATACAGGATGAGGTCCGAAGGCATGTTCCTTTGGTGCCAGTCTCTATAGAACAAGCAGTGCAAGTAAGAGTTAGTGAAAAGTCTGTACATTCAGGTACCATTTTCATAGATTATTATTTTGCAACATAGGAAATACCACACTAATTCCAGGGAAGTAATCATGATTTTTCTATTAAAAGAACGAGGAAAAAAAATCAATTCACAAATCACATTGGCAAGATCGTAAATATTTCATTGACCAACAAAAAAAGTTAACGTATCCTCAGAATGTAGAAAAAGCAAAATTACATTATCTGAATTTCTGAGATGAAGCATTTTTACAGTTACACACTGATAATTTTTTTTCGAACTGGTTTCCTTATCTTTATTATTTTTATCAATCATTTAGTTGCTTAACTCTTTGACCTCCTTTCTTGCTAAATTACTTGAGTTTCAAATAGACTACAGGCATTAGAATAAAAGGAGAGGCCATGTTGCTGGATTGACCAGACCGGGAGCCATGTAGCCGGATCGACCGGACCTGGGACCATGTAGCCAGATCAACAGGACCTGGATCCATGTAGCTGGATCGACAGGACCGGGGGTCACATTGCTGGATCGACAGGACCGGGGCCATGATGTTGGATAGAGAAAAAAATGTGTTTACCAAATACAAGAGTGCATTTTAAGTTTGCTTCAACTTAAAGCAATCATGCAATTGGAAAAAAATATATTTACAAAATGCAAGAAAATCTTGCCTAGATTTCCAAAACTGAAAATGAGTAAAAGGAAAACATGCTTCATCTGAAATGTTAATTTGCACCCCTGAATTCATTCTTTGTATTACTTTTCTTATTGCAGCTCCTTGTATGATCCATTCTACAGTCTTCTACAAGTGTACAATCTAGAAGAATATAGAGAAAGGACATTATTTTTTTTTTATGCTATTGAATTGGTCAGTATATTTGTTGTACGCCACCATTTTCTTCCTCTGTTTTTTTTTTTTATAAATTAAATATCTGAAGATAGTTGGAGAATGAACTGGTCAAAATTATGAATTAAAATATAAGCAAAACAATGAACAAATTTAATAGTGCAATGATGGTTCTTCTCCAAATTATAGCTTATTATCCAAATTCCTGCCTTCTTGTAGCAACTTGAACTGATAAATAGCAAAACTATAAATAATAAAAAAAAGATTTGTACCCAAGTGCACAGACCAATTTCAGGCAGATGCATGCATGCACTCTCAGACACTGCTTTGGAGGTGAGCAAAATCTATAGAACATACCAACTTTTCTACAGAAGACCCTCTAAGAAGGTCTGCATCAGAATATTCAGGTTGGGGAGCCTCAAGTGAAGTAGATTTATCCTCAGCTGGATGAGTAGACACCAAGGGGTCTGTGGGTTGTAAGGGTTCTGGACTGACAGGCTGCAATTGTACAGCAGCCTGTGGCACTGCAGGGGTGGGATCTACAGGGAGAGAGGGCTGTGATGGTGCCAGTGGTTCCTCACTTGGAAGTGTATCAATAGTTGAAATAGGTGGGAGTTGGGGGGATTCTGTCAATACCTCATCCTTAAGGGTTGTGGTAGCATCCTCATATTCATCACCATCTTCAGATGCCTGCCTGTAAACAAAGGTACCTTCACTTTCGGCTTTTAACATCTCCTCAATGGGATTACGCTCAGTATTCATCTGCAAAGATAAAAGACATAAAAATTAAAAAGTATTTTATGAATGTGTGTGTAAAAATTATATATATATATATATATATATATATATATATATATATATATATTGTGTATTTGGATAGCAATCCCTCTTTTATACAAGTTTCATTAAAAATGACTGATAAGGTACTGTGGGCATGTAGTGACTGTTTGGAAAATAAAACATTCCTATAACTCTAGATAGATACATAAAACCATCCATATATTCAGTTAAAAGTAAAAATAAAATCATCCTTGATCATAGGTAAAAGTATAGCCGAAAATGTTCAGACAGAGAAAGTTCTGACAAGTTCTACATAATTTATGTTCAGAAAAGAAAATTTAAGAACAGAAGAAAAAACTTAAATAAAAAACTGCAGTACCTTGTCAGTAGTTTTTAATTATTTATTTATATATATATATATATGTGTGTGTGTATTTTAATCATTCCACCTTATCTGCTGTAGATGTCAGGACTTTGAATTGATTGAACAGGGGAGGGGTTGAGGATTTGCTGCTGTTCATCACACTCTTGCAGAGCCACCAATAATCTCTGGAATTGAACTTGTGAGATGCTATACATCATTTCATTCTATCAGAAAACAAAACTTCACTTCAATGAGGATGTGCTTGCACTCATTACGAGCAGAAACAGAGAGACGTCTGTTGCAATCAGATGTGTTGCTCTGGTACAGATGGAAGAAGTGATTCCTGTATGCTATAGCGGCCAAGCATGCAAGTGAAAACCAAGAAGATTAACGCAGTTTAAATTGGTATTTCCTTGCTGGAATGAAACTATTAATGCCAGCTTTCACTCAGGAGGAGACCTCAGATCTGCATTTTTGAACAGCTGCAGAGCAAAGGAAACAGATCTGGCTCATGCCACAGAGCAGAAACAGAGAGATGCCACGTCTGTTGGCTCATGCCAATCAAAGGAAACAGATTGGCTCATGCCACTGCAGAGCAATGGAAGAAGCCACTGCAGAGCAAAGGAAACAGATCTGGCTCATGCCACTGATCTGGCTCATGCCACTGCAGAGCAAAGGAAACAGATCTGGCTCATGCCACTGCAGAGCAAAGGAAAAATGCCACTGCAGAGCAAAGGAAACAGATCTGGCTTTAAATTGGCTCATTGCAGAGCAAAGGAAACAGATCTGGCTTGCCACTGCAGGAATGAAACATGCCACTGCAGAGCAAAGAAACAGATCTGGCTCATGCCACTGCAGAGCAAAGGAGCTCATGCCCTGCAGAGCAAAGGAAACAGATCTGCTCATTTTTTGAACAGATCTGGCTCATGCCACTGCAGAGCAAAGGAAACAGATCTGGCTCATGCCACTGCAGAGCAAAGGAAACAGATCTGGCTCATGCCACTGCAGAGCAAAGGAAACAGATCTGGCTCATGCCACTGCAGAGCATGCCACTGCAGAGCAAAAAACAGATCTGGCTCATGCCACTGCAAAGGAAACACTGCGCCAAACAAAGGAAACAGATCTGGCTCATGCCACTGCAGAGCAAAGGAAACAGATCTGGCTCATGCCACTGCAGAGCAAAGGAAACAGATCTGGCTCATGCCACTGCAGAGCAAAGGAAACAGATCTGGCTCATGCCACTGCAGAGCAAAGGAAACAGATCTGGCTCATGCCACTGCAGAGCAAAGGAAACAGATCTGGCTCATGCCACTGCAGAGCTCATGCCACTGCAGAGCAAAGGAAAAACAGCCATGCAGAGCTGGCTCATGCCATGCCACATGCAGAGCAAAGGAAACAGATCTGGCTCATGCCACTGCAGAGCAAAGAAACAGATCTGGCTCATGCCACTGCAGAGCAAAAACAGAACAGATCTGGCTGCAGAGCAAAGGAAACAGATCTGGCCACCACTGCAGAGCAAAGGAAAAGAAACTGCAGAACTGGCAAAGGAAACATACATGCCACTGCAAAGGAAACAGATCTGGCTCATGCCACTGCAGAGCAAAGGAAACAGAAAGGAAACAGATCTGGCAAGGAAAGGAATCTGGCTCTCATGCCACTGCAGAGCAAAGGAAACAGATCTGGCTCCAGCCACATCAGATATCATTCAATGCTATATATAATACACGCACAATATTTTAACAAATATATGATAAGGACTTACAGGTATTTTTGCATAGCTACTAGCTGGGAGTGATTGAGTATATTGAGGCTTCAGGAATTGTTCAGTCTTGAATGTGTCTCTCAATCCCGGGAACAAATTTTCATATTCTGTAGGATCTGCTAAAGAATCAGCAGCACGCTTGTTGATCTTGGACAACATTTCACGCCAAAGTTTTACAACTCTGTAAAATCAAGCAGAATGGAACATTTTGAGAAATGAGGAGAGAAATGAGAGGGGGTCTATAGAAATCTCATATTATGAATATGCATTATCAAAATCTTGTGTCAATAGGATTATACATTGCCATACAAAAAAAAAAAAAAAAATATTAGTATCACTTGAGTATAATCTTTTCAAGCTCTGAAGAAAGTATTGTATAACAGCTATGAGTACATTGGTTTGTCTAGTAACTAATAAAATGAAAAGAGTAGTTGATGACTTAATAAAAACTTATTCAAAGCAAGTTAGAAAAATTTCTGTTTCCTATAGAATTATTGAAATTTAGTGATATATTTTCATGACCTATAAAAATCAAGTTCTCTCAGTCACTGTGTGTTTATCTAAAAATAAATACGCTTAAATTCACCTTCACCCCTGCCATGCACCAACGGCTTAGTGGTAGAATCGCCGACTGATGCCAATTCAGTCAGGTTCTGATCTTAGCTAGAGGCAACCGGATGTCTAGCCACACTAATGAGCTGTGATACAGTGAAACAGTCTGTTTGTGGATTTATATATATATATATGTGTGTATGTGTGTGTGTGTGTGTGTATGTTTTTATAATAGGCTGATTAAAGAAATTTCATAAACTGAATAATATTTATTGTATATTATTGTGAGAACAAAAAAGAAAAAGTTTTCATTGCTTTCTCCACAAAGCTCAATCAAGAAAATGATACAAATGCACCATATACTAATATTATATATCTCACAGACTGAACACATTAAATTTAACAAGATGTTTCTTCTGTTTACTAAGAGAAGGCTAGAGATTTAATGAATATGGCCTATAAAACTTTCAAATGAAAGGCTTAAAACTGAAAACATATCATCATTGTTGGATTTGGAAGAAATTAAGTGATCACAGGAGTCGGAGTTGGAAAAACTACACAGACTGACTCCAGTTGAATTTACACTTTATGGAAAAGGTCTTACATTATAAAATTTTTATTTCTTCTAATATTTACTTATATTTTTATTTATATATTTACTTTTTCTTCTAAAGAAATTCACCTCAACTTCTTTTTTTAAAGTTATTTTATTTTTGTTATGATTTTACATCCTGTAAAAGATTATTATATTTCAACTTCTGTTATAAAGTAATTTTATTTTTGTCCTGTACTTATTTCTTATTTGCAAAGATTATATATATATATATATATATATATATATATATATATGTGTGTGTGTGTGTCTGTAAAAAGTTTTAAATTATAGCATTTTTATTTTTTCTATATCATTATTTACATTATTCGGACTCTTGTCCTCATCTCTGTTGCCATATTTATTACAACATTTCAGCCATTGTACGCTCCAGCCTTCTTAAGGTGGTTGCAATGTCAAACTGAACCCTTTATTTCATTCACTGGGGTAGACTGTTCTAGTTCCACGTGCCAGTCTACACCAGTGAGCGAAATAAAGGGTTCAGTTCGATGGCTGAAACGTAATAAATATGGCAACAAGGATGAGGACAATAGTCCGAATAATGTAAATAGTGTACATAATACCTCATCTCAGAAATATAGACAGATTCTTCAATATCCTTTCAAAGATTTTCTCTTTAATTCTGTTAGAAAATATTGAAGAATGAATAGGTATGATATAAAAGCCACAATACCTTTATTCTTTGATATAAACCAGTTATAATGATATAGGCTTACTCAAGTTAAGAGCATATGCATAGGCTTTATGAGATTTGTAGGCCATTATCACTTAATTACATGGAGGAGTGGGAGATGCCAAAAGTGGAGGAGTGGGAGATGCCAAAAGTGGAGGAGTGGGAGATGCCAAAAGTGGAGGAGTGGGAGATGCCAAAAAGTGGAGGGTGGGAGATGCCAAAAGTGGAGGAGGGAGATGCCAAAAGTGGAGGTGGGAGATGCCAAAAGTGGAGGTGGGAGATGCCAAAAAGTGGAGGGTGGGAGATGCCAAAAGTGGAGGAGGGAGATGCCAAAAGTGGAGGAGGGAGATGCCAAAAAGTGGAGGAGTGGGAGATGCCAAAAGTGGAGGAGTGGGAGATGATGGAGGTGGGAGAAAAGTGGAGTGGGAGATGCCAAAAAGTGGAGGTGGGAGATGCCAAAAGTGGAGGAGTGGAGATGCCAAAAGTGGAGGAGTGGGAGATGCCAAAAGTGGAGGAGTGGGAGATGCCAAAAGTGGAGGAGTGGGAGATGCCAAAAGTGGAGGAGTGGGAGATGCCAAAAGTGGAGGAGTGGGAGATGCCAAAAGTGGAGGAGTGGGAGATGCCAAAAGTGGAGGAGTCAAAGGTTTTGTGTCTCGAATCCACAGCTCTGCTCATTATGGGTCATGGCACAGAATCTTTTATTAGATGACAGCTATCACAGATCCAGATGTATCTGTTAAATTTAGTTGGACTATCTAATCCCCTGATAAGCAGATAATAACTGCAAAACTAGAAATGATAGAGTTTTTAATTTTTTTAATTTTATTTATTTACTATTAATGTTTTATTTCTTAATAATGTAGACTTTTCACAGTCTTACTTACACTGCAAAATCTGACCAAATATCAAAATTTTAAGGAGTGGGGAGGGATTATTGAATTGACCCATTTCCCAAAATCTTTAAAGAAACTTATTAAGCAATATGCCAAATATATTAACCTACACTGTGAGTATGTAGGAGAGCACATACATTTTGTGATAGTGTCATTCTTCTTGGTCGGGCTCAGAACTTTTCAGTACTCCATCATATATATCAGCAATGTGTCTTGTCAAATGGAACATGTCTTATAGTCATTAATATGATGGAGCGAAAGACATGTAACCAACTATCTACATAACTTGAATTGTGTGACCAACTATGTACACACCATGCCGAAGTAGTTTTGAACATGGAACAAATGCAAAAAGTGACAAGAAAGTATTTACTGTGACATTAATGCACAGGACTGTCTTCCCTGATATTTTGTGCGGTTGAAGGTAGTCAACTGGAGATAAAAGAAAGCTTGTCCTTTTTTTTCACCAAGATGAACTAAAATGAGGAAAGAAACCTCTCTATTTCCAAGAACACCAGAACTGAAAATTTTCACTGTATTTTTGACTCCTAACCACTAGACAAAAAGAACTCTGACCATTGTAGACAATCTGGGAATATTCTTTGGATTATGATCACCAAAACATTACAATAAATTTTTATGTTATAATTATGTCATAATAAAGTATGAATATTAATTAAATTATTGTTTTTTGTTGTTGTAGTCATCATCATCATCATAACGTTTCAAACATCTTGCCTTCTAGTCTTCTTCAGATGATTGCTGATCTAGGTAACCTTCGGAGAATTTCGAACTGCAGGTTACACAGATCAACAGGTATATGAAGAAAGTCAAAGGGCACAATAGTTGAAATGTAATGACAAGGACAATAAGCTGAATGTAAATGATGATGATCCCAACACCCCAGAAATTCAGACAAAAATTAAGTAAATGTTGTCTGAATTGAAGTGGCTTTAACAACATTAGATAAACATTCTCACAAAAAAAAAAAAAAAAATCTCTTACCTGGAAATTTGGCTAGGTAAATATGTACGAGCAAAAAAAGCAGCCTCTGGTAGACGCCCAGTATTGATCAAAACTTCTAGGCACTCGTCTAATCTACAAAAAAAGTTTTATAAAAATTTGAATTTTATAAATGAATACATATATTTTTTAGATCAAAAAGTCAAATGGTATAATTTGTAGAAATAGCAACCAATTACAAGACCTTTAAAAAAGAAAAAGAAAAAACAATTAAAAAACAAACATAAGAAATAAACTAGTTGCTGGTAGACAATACGAATGAAAACTATTAGGCTATCCAGAAAGGATTCACAGCATGATTACATAAACCTCTCCACCTTTTGAGGAAAACCACTATTAAGCCCAACATGCTTTTAGACTGCTCAGTCTAGCAAATTTTTCACAGTCAAGCAAAGTTCAATTACCCTCTTTAAGAAATACACATCTTGTTCAAATCTCTCAAAATTCAAAATCTGCTACCTTTTATTTTCAGATCCAAGATGTTAGCAAAGTAATTCAGAAATTAATTTATAAATATCATGAGTTTTAAAAATAAAAGATCAGGAAAATTTAACATAAATATAAATGTAACAAAATAAAAAAAAAAAATGAATTTTTCAACATGTGTAGTCTTTGGAAATGACATGAAAAAAAAGAAAACATTCAGCTTACTTTCCAAGAGAGAAATAAGAAAGAAAGGCAACATTATTCTGTCCAGTCTTTTCAGCTGTCTGTCCAAGACGCAGTACCATTTCAGTGTTGCCAGCAGATGTGGCCAACAAGAGTAAACCTCCAAAATCCTGGGCCTGATGGAGGCACTCCTGAGCAAGGCCAAATTCACACTTGCTGATAGCTAATTCAGCCAATAATTTCCATTTCTGTTCAAAAAAAAAAAAAAAAAAAAAAATTATATATTTTAACTTGAGAATGAAATTAAAAAAAAAAAAAAATTTAACACCCAGATAAAAAAAAAAAAAATTAGTGAAAAATGTCACTCCCACCCTAGAGTTTAAATGCAAATTATATTACGGTGTGAGATCATATATTTTGGCAGCAGCTCTGGAGCAATCACTGTTTTTACTGTATGATTTACAAGACCTGGCACACTGATAGTTATTTAACAAATGCTCAGCTATCACCAACCCAGATGTATTGATCACAGTTTCTTTAAAATTAAATTGTGCTATTTTAATAGAGACTAAGTAATTTACAAGGCTAATGTCAGTGTGTCATGTCATATCAATGAAATATCTTGTCAACTGGTCTAGAACAAAAGAAAATCTCAGAAGTGCTTGATACAAAAATAAAACTTACCTAAAGTTACTATGACCTTTCAGCTAATCAAATTTGACCCCCTTCTCACATGACACCCTTTCAGCTAAATCAAATCAGACCCCAGCACCACATCCTTTCATAAAATTTATCGCTTGACACAATTATCTTTACAACTTGAAAAGATTTTTCCCAGCATATTGAAATTTATATTAGTAATTTAAAAGTGAATTTTTTAATTTTTGATTAGTGCCTTATCTCATGTCTCTATCAAAACTTTCATTATTGTTAGTAATCTATCAAAGCAAATCCGAAGCTATCTCCTTGTAATCCATACATCATAGAGTAGAGTTGGTCAGTTTGGCAATCTATGTTTCAGTATCAGCTTCTGTTTTTTCTTCTTCTTGATACCGCAGTTTTCGATTCGGTTTTTAACTTAGTATTTTTGCTTTCTAAGGAAGCCATTCATTTTCCTGTGTAATGATAGCATTTCCAGTCGATATTTGATTTCATTTGTGATTAATAAATTTGCAACTTAGTCTGTTCAACTCTTAATTTCTCATGTATTTCTGTTCGAATCTTAAAAATATTCAAATGGCTGGAAAGAAAATAAAATAATCTTTCTAAGTATGTAATTTAGATGTGCTTTTATTCATTGATTTATCATTTTTTTTTTTTTTTTTTTTTTAAAGCTGGTTAAAACGGTATTTTGCTTTGAATAGCCAAAAATGTGAAATATGATTTTTTTTTCTAGACTAAATTTTACATGTTTCTTTGCTTTGCAAAATCAAAGTGACCAATCTTTATCAATATTCTTGAAATTGTACACTCAATTAGAAGACACCTTATATTACAACCAGGAAGATGTTCATTTCTTCTTTGACTTGTGAAAGCAAAGTCGTTCAAAAATTATAAAGTAAGCAAAAAAAAAAGTCTTTTCTGGTATGTCAGTCAACTGTTATTGGGGTTTTGCAAATAAATTTCTTCTAAACAAGGAAAAATCAATGAGTTATTTTTCCAAATAATTAAATTTATTTTTATCTAGTGAATACACCTAAAATTAAATATTACAAATAATTAAAAGCTTTTAATTTCATTTTTAGAATGTGTATATGTTTCCAAATCTGCGCGTATCACCTGTTCTTTTTTAGATACACATTTTAAAACTGAAATTAAAAACGATTTTAATCATTTTATTTTTAATATATAATCTTAAGTGTATTCGCTAGATAAAAGCATAAAGATATTTGTAAAAATAAAATGAATTAATTTTCCTTGTTTAGAAGAATTTTATAGGCAAAACACCCACCAAACACTAGTGGTTAAAAAAAAAAAAAAATTCTGCTAACTATCCTAATACCAGGATGGAACAGTCAAGATTGATAAAGCAAGTTGAACAAACATTTAACACAGCCACTAAAGGAGATAACTTGAGAGCCTTTTTAGATTCTTCTCATGATGCTTTTCTTTGTAGCTGATGAACTCACTGCCATTGAAATTACATCACAGTAACTTGAAGACCCAGTGACTAACTTTGGTACCTGTGATGAAGAACAACTATCTAAAGTAATCTTCAGATATGAAAGACAAGGTCAATAGGATGCCATATACTATGATTCCAGTATGATTTACATTAGCCGAGTCCTTGACATTACATCACCAACCAGTGCAATAATCAAGTTTCTAGCTCCAAGTAAGGAAAGTAGAAATTATTTCCAATGATCTTTGGTAGGTGACATTGCACATGTCAAGTCAACTTTTATCTTAAGATGGGACTGAAGTGCAATACCAATTTCAAGTGATGGTCAAATCTGGAATGTTCCAGAAAAATTGATTATAGAAGAAATTCAGACTGCAAATCACAATTAAAAGAAGAAGTACAACAGAGCCATTCAAATTGCCCAGAAAGTCTTTTTCATCAGTTCCAATAAATGTAGTTTTACATTAATGTAATGATAATCTTAAATTAGTATTTAATAAATGTAAATAAACAATTAATAAATTAATTAATAAATGTAAATAGTATTTAATAAATGTAGTTTTACATTAATGTAATAATAATCTTTTTTGATGAAGAAATTCAGACTGCAAATCACAATTAAAAGAAGTACAACAGAGCCATTCATATTGCCCAGAAAGTCTTTTTCATCAGTTCTAATAAATGTAGTTTTACTTATTTAAATTTCTTTTTGTTGATTTTTTTTGTTTAAAAATTGAGTTTTAAGTCTTTACAATAAACATGTTTGAAAAATTGACCACTGATTCCTTTTGTATAACAAGTTTCCAAATTTTGATGTCAGTTGTTTTTGGACAAGTCAAAAAATTGTATAAATTTACAAAAAAAAAATTGTATAAATTTACAAAAAAAAAAAATCAAATACATTGATAAGAAAAAGTTTTATTATAGACAAAATAACTGTTTTGCTGAATTCCCCATCCCAAAATGAGCAAAGTTTCAAAGTTTAATTCTTGTATCTTCACAAGATACTTTTTGGCAGCAACTTCAAGAACGTATACTTTTTACCTTTTTTTGCCCTACTATCAAATTTTACTTCCGCCTGTACTTACATGGTGAAAATAAGAATTGTTTTACTGATGTACTCCCATGAAGAAAAATTTACCTTAATCTCTAACATATGATAAAACATTAAGTTTCAATGACTTAACTATAGAATTGAAATTTATATAAATGGTCAAAGTTGCCTTCCAGTGTTGTTTTTTTTTTTTTTTAAACTGTATTTATTATTACAAGAGATCAGGTCATATTTTTGTTAATATTTGTACAGGAAGTTAAAAACTGGTTCAGATAAAAACTTACCTCAGCTTCCTTTGCAAGCTGGTAAGCAACTCGTAAATCACCCAACTGCAGGGCCAACTCAAATTTATGTTCAGGATCACAAGTTACGGCAAGTGCTTGAGATTTGAAACCCTGAAATACAAATAAAGCAATTTTAACTAACTGCAAGTACATTTTTTTATCAATGTTGTAATTGTTTACACAACTGATGAGAACATAAACAGGAGTTCTTAAATAAGCCAAGACTTTCATTCAGGTTCTCAGGATTGAAAGTACAGTGTCACAGTGAATATTGAATGCATATTAAGAAAGTAAGCAGATACTGATATTTCTGTTGCACATTTAAATCTGTGAAAAGTCAATAATGAGGTGAAACATTTCAGCTGCACATTTAATCTGAATTAAAACGTTTATCATCCAATACTTATCTATCTTCTGCCAGGAAGCCTATACAAAATGACAACTTCAATTGATTGCCTAACGATAAAAAGAATATTAGACTAACGACTGGCTACATTTTTGGGGACAATGTTCAGCCAATAAACAAAATTATTTTAAAATTTTGTATTTTAAAAAATAGCAGTTCTTAAAAAAAAAAAAAAAAAAAAAAAAAATTACATACACCCACAAGACAAATGGAAAACTTTTCTTTACCAACACATTTCGTCCTATGAGAAACTTTATCAAGGTAATTGTGGAGATTTTATCTTATAACTCGTATTTATACACAGAAGTAAAGTGGAAGAAAAATATCACTAAATTTTGAAATTTAAAATTTAAGAACACTCTAAAATATTTTTAAAGCTAAACTATGGATTGATTGGTTTGTTTTAACAGCATGTCAACCTGTCTGGGGTTATTTTATGCCAAGAAGTAAATTGTCAGGATGGTCAAATTTGTGTTTTTTCAAGGATTTTTTCTCGATTTTGACAGTTGTCTGTAGTTGTTTGTTGCTAAATGGCTTTGGAATCACTTTGAGGGATAAGTTTCTAGAATAAAGTTCAACTTTACTGTTATATTTTTGGGTATAATTTTATTTGTTTCAGGAAGGACAAAATCTCATCTATACTGAAATTTTTTAATATATCTTTCATGCTGTGTTACAAAAGCATTGTCTGATAACAGCAGAATTGCCACATTCTATTAAAATAAGTTTAACAGTGTAGGATGTTTGACATGCTATGCATTTTGGATGGTTTTCTGGTTTAAGTAAAAAGGAGTGTGTTAGTTTTGTGTAACAGATACATAGTTAGAATATAGTGGTTTGTTTGTTCCTTTGACGACTTTCTGAAACCTGGTTTCCATTCTCCTATATTGGGTTTTATTGAGAATACTTATTGTTATAGTGGAACACACCTATTCTATAGTTATTAGACTCTCCCACCTATAATAAGTAGGATTAGTAATAGTAACGAGGAGTCGCTCAGTGAGTTGGTCAGTCAGTTGATGTCGGATGACCATTAGTCGGATACTAAAAGTATCAGTGACCACAACTAGATTACTGCGTCATACCAATTATATGAAGTTCCTAACGTTTTGTACGTCGAACCTGTTTTAGGACCGACTTAGTACAAATACAAGCCTTCACTCCATAACACTTATGTATGTTGTTACTCCAATTTTGTTGTCATTTTCTATGAAAGAACATATTTATTTTGGTCTTCAAACTTGATTGTGACACTTTTTAAAGTCTGATTTTTTTTTCTGTATAATCTTTTATTTTAATAAATTCATTAAAATAAGTTTTAATACCTTCAGTATATCCGTATTTTCCCAGGCATTTTCTATTGTTTAGGCTTTGGCATTTCACTCACAATTGTGTAGTGGTTTGGATTAACACTTCGGACATTTTGAGTGTGAAATATACAGATTACAACCTTTATCCTAACTTAAAAATTTCAAAAATTTACTCAATGGGATTTGCTTTAATATTAATAATGTGCTTTTCCAAATAATATAATCTGCAGAGAAGAACTATTTTAAATCCTGCTTGCACATAGAAGTTACTACATTGTATTGTTTTATTATTTTTTATTATACATTACAGTACAATGTATTGTAATGGTTTTGTTCACAATCTTAAAACTATAAAAAATTAATTTTTTTTTCTTGTTAAAATCTCGTGCATATGAGATTTCTGACATCTTTTGCTGTCATCGATGATGGATCTATTGACATGGCACTTTATAATTAGAATCATTTTAGGTCATCGTCTTACAAATTTATTTACATTGGTGCAGATTTTTATGTGAAATTAAAGGATAGTTTTAATAAATGTTTTTCAAAACTGCCAATATTCAACTCTGGGTACTGAATGCACATTTTGGATTTTTGTTTAAGAATATTTTTAGCATGATTAATATTGTTTCTGGGGTGGAGCACAGTTCCAAGATGATGATGGAAAAAGTTAGTTTGGATCTCTGATTTTGACCTCCTTCACAGAATTGATACTAACCCACTGATGATAGGTTGTTGCAAAAAGACAAAAGATTGTTTAAAGAGTGATCATTGAATAATAATCAATATTATAACATTAACAGAATTTTTAACTACAGAATTTTTCAAATTTTGGCCTAAAATTTCCCAGGCAAATTAACATTCAATTTATATCAATATACTGTGTTTTAAAAAAAAAAAAAAAATGGATTGTAAGTTGTCAGGAATAAAGGCAAGGATTAAGAAAGATTATGAAATGTACAATGCTTGTCAAAGAGTTTGTGATAGCAACTATTTAGCAAGCTTAGCTATGGCACAAGGCCATGATCATGGGGCATCTAGAGAGAACTGAACTCACTTCAGCAGCAATAACTAGTCTAGTTCACTAACCATTACCCCAGGATCAGGTGCCTAGTGGATTCTAATGTCATAAAGCATTGCAAATAAATTTACTATAGAATTGCACTGAGAAAATAAAACAGGTATTGTTTGTGGTCATGAATCAATGCAAGCATGACTGACAAAATATTGCTATTATGTGGATTGAGAGGGGGGGGAAAAAAAATTCAGTGAACTGCACAACAGATTTAGAAAAAAGAAAAAAAAGAAAATTGAACAAGCCTAAGGGAGATAATCTGATAGTGATTCTTTAATTTTTATCAATTTGTCATAACATAAATCAACAAAAATATTTAAAAAATTAAGACTAACCTGTTTTTCAAGAAAGTGTGCAACTCTAGTCCGTTGTTCCCGAGGAATGGTCGGCAAGACCTTGTCTGCTGTTTCAAAATCTCGTCGCATCACAACTGTCTGGTACTCCAATACTGAAAGCAACAGTGAGTAACTAACCACATTGAGCTCTTTGTCCCCGAGGTACAATCGGTTGTCCTTGGGAATATAACCAAGCAAGTACATCACTCTGAAAACAAAAGGAATGGTTTGATAGGATTTAGTAATTTGGAAAGGGGTGTCAACTTTTTGGAGAAGGAATAAAATCCCTTTAAGTGCTGTGAAAAAATCTTGATAAGTGATAAATTGCTAAAAAGAATTCTGAAAATATTGAATTGACCTCTAACCTCCCTTTAAATGTTTTGTCACAAAGAAAGCATTCCCATGATCTGATTAAATGGTTATAAAAGCCAGTAGATTTAAGAGAAAATATCACAACCTAACAATTTGATTTTGCATTAGAAGTTTTTGCTAATGAGCGTTTGTTTGCATTGTTATTCTGATGAACGATATGATTTCTGTTGATTGAAGTTCTGTATTTTTGTAGAAGGAATAAAAAGGCCATTAAATTGTACTAAAAATTATGTTTAAGAATTTATCTGTTGCACAATGTATAGGGGATTAAGGGAAAAACTTTATGCCTGCATTAAAAAAAAAAAAAAAAAAAAAAAAAACAAAAAAAACAATGGATGACAGTCAACCAAACAATGAAAATATAGACAGAGATCAAAAAATAACAACAATTTATTTATGTAAAAGGTTGTTCAGAAGGTAATTTGAGACAGGATAAAAAGCTGTTCAAATGTAATAAAATGATCTGGGATTCTCCATGAACAGAATTCTGCTAAAAGACTGAACTGATATCTTTTCTATTCTGAAAGGTGTTGCCATTAAAAAATGATATAATTTTGAAATTAAAATGGAAATCTTAAGTTGTTGATTAATCAACTTGTTTTTTTATGGCTTATCAACCTGTTGCAGGTTATTTAAAGCCAAAAAATATTTTTAGATGATTGCAAGGATTTTTTGGAGATAATAATTATTTACTGATACAAGTTATACTAATTAACCCATAGCTAGATTTATAAGTTTCCAAAGAGTATTTGCACATAAGTGAACATAACAAACCCAACCAGAATTGAAACTCAGCTCTCAGATTTCCAATTTTTAAATAGAACCTTGCTTGGATGGGAGGTTATCAGTAGCTGAGTAAATACAAAACTGAGCAGATATGGCTTTTCTATTTTTAAAGGTTTTGCCATTAAAAATGTTACAGTTATGAAATTAAAAATGGAAATCTTAAGCTGCTGAATTCTTTCAGATTTAACAACTTAAGTCTTTGGCAATTTCAACCACAGAAAGATTCACAATCAAATGCATTAAAGTTTCATGCATGCAAAATTGGGAAAATTGTTCGTAAACTCAAACTGGGTTGGTGACAGATGTGAAAACACCATTGCATGCTTGTTTACACCGTTCAGCTGGAAACATTACTGCAGTGTACAAGAATGTGTCCAAAAATCCAGACACCTCTATTTGTCATTGTGTGCAAGAATTGAACCTCTCCACAACAATCTTAAGTTGTTTCCCATTGCATGCTTAGTTGGTCAATTATGTTGACAAAAAAAAAAAAAAAAAAATCATGAAGTGCGCAAAATGTATGTTTGAATGCCCATTTTTGTAATAGGCTTTGATAACTGTAGCATATTGTTTGATTGTTAATCTTTCCATGGTTGAAATTGCCAAAGACTTAAGTTGTTAAATCTGAAAGAAAAAGAAAATCATTAGATTCTTAAATTTAATTCACATTTAAAATCACTCCAAGTTATTGGAACACCCTTTATGTAAACAAAATTTAATCTTTTCTCTTTCTAAAGATACACTTCTTTCTAATGTGTGATCATGAGTTTTTATTTCATATCTTTTTAAATTATGTCACTATTTCAATGACAGCCATTTTCAAAGTTGATGATTTCATAGTGGTGTTTTTAAAACTTGTTACGCTTTGAATGGTGTCTCCCTATGCATAACAAAATAGTTACATCTTAAAGAAAAAAGGATGCTTGTCAATTTATTGGGCTTAAGATAGGGTTTGAAGTTGTCTTTCACAAAAATTTCTAAGTTGAAAACTTTAGTGGATGAAATACCAGAGAAATTCAAACAGTTGAGACTCTAGGCACACGTGAATCAAAAAAAAAAAAAAAGGTATGAAGTGAATGAACATTGCCAGGTGAACCCCATTTTAAATCAGACTTGTTTCATCAATGGATATTACAGTTTAAATCTTTTTCCTATATTTTCTTTATATAGTTTTAAAATTCAACATTAAAATACTTATTCATTGTATTTCATCCAAACTGTCATGCTTGAATCACTTGCTTTGACTGTTGTTTTTTAAGCATTTAAAAAAAAAAAAAAATTAAGTTCCTATTATAAACTATATATTTTTAAGTCTTTAAATTTCACATTTATAATGACTTTTCAATTGTTTGAAGCCTGTATCTTCAGTTATACTCTGTTGGCAGTTAAAATTGTTTTCTGTTACTATAGCATGAGACAGAAAATTTTTTAAGTTCTGACCAATTGTGAATGATCATAACTTGGTTGCCATTTGAGCTACCAAGATAAATTTAGTAGCATTCTTTATATTTTGTCAAGCTATTTCTGGGCTAAAACATTTTAGATATATTGAAAATAAAATTTTAGTTTGGAATACCTATTTCATTGCATTTGAACAGAAAAAAAAAAGAATTAAAGAAAGTTAAACTCACTTCAGTCTCTAATAAAAAAATAAAAAAAACAATAAAAATTCAGAAACAAAAAAAAAAAAAAAAAAAAAAAAAAAAAAAATGAAACAAGTGACATCACTTTCCAAATTACTGTATATTTGTTTAAATCATTTTTAGATATTTTCACCTGAGGATACACGTTCCAAAAATCATGAAAATGGTAAATTGGAACAAAAAAAAAAGAAGCATTTACTTACCTATCAAGATGGGCAATGGTAACAATCTCTCCTCCCACGTAGTAATTAAGTCGGTTTACACTGTTAGTATAGATAAAGCAGTCACCAACCCAAAGTCCAGTGCGGACACTTTCCTCAATCTCACCTACAACCTAGAGAGAGATGATTAAAAAATAAAAAAAAGTTATAAAATTGAAGAAATATTCCTTTATGGAAGAACAACCTTAGGAGGAGTCTTTTTAATTAGATTGTGAACAGGAATGTTTTTTTTATTACTTAAAATAGTGAATTAAAGTGTTGGTTTGTAAATTTGGTAATATAGTAATTGTGAGTTCAATCCTTGCATCCGGTAGTTACAGATTTAGACCCAGGGTGAGCAATAACTGAGCAGTACTAAATAAGAACAAGATATCCTTAGATATAGACTACCCATAGTTTAAATAAAGGGTTCTGTTTGAAATTCCTTGAAAATTACCCGGATCAACAGATACCTGAAGAAGGTCAGAGGGTACATCATCTGAAATGTTGTGATAAAGATGAGGATAATAGTCTGAATATAAATAATATAAATAAAATTAAAATTTAATATTAGCTAGTGGAACATTTTTCTTGAATTTTAAAAAACACACACACACAAAAAAAAAAAAAAAAAAAAAGAGAGCATGAAATGATCAGGTGAAGACAATAAAAGGCTTTCAAAAGGGGGAAAAAAAAAAAAAAAAAAAAAAAAAGAAAATTAAACTCACTTCAAATGCTTCTTCAATTCCATCTTCAGTGACGCCCTCTTTCGTTTCCCTGGCTTTCTCAAAAGCGTCGGCAAAATATTTCAGAATGAAAAAGGATTCCTCAGTAGAGATACACACTAATTCACCATTGTCACTCCAGTAAATCTAAAAGATAATGCATATATACATATTTATTATTTAAAAATTTGATATATTTATAGGCAAAGAGTGCTCAATGTCAGATTTGCAGATACAGACAGTGCAGACTTGGTCCAAAGATCTCACTGAAGTGTAAAACAGTCATCATACAGTGTTGATTCCTATACCCATACTGTTTTTATATAAATAATGGATTGATTCATTCATTTTTCTATGACTTATCAACCCTTTGCAGGTTATTTAAAGCCAGAAAATATTTTTAGATCTTGAGAATTGTTTTTTTTGAGATAATAATGGTCTAATAATACACGTCTTACTAATTAACCCATAGGTGGGAGAGACAAGAGGTGGATTCATGCCTTTTTCCAAGGGTATTTCCACATAAGTTAATATAACAAACCCAATGGGAATTGGAACTCAACTCTCCGATTACCAATTCCAAGCCATTATCCATTAAACTTCTCATACATGCAAGCCCACAGCACCTGATATGCCCAAGCAGTCATGATCTAGGTACCAGACTTGATATTGCTTAACTTTGATGATTGTACAGGAACCAGTGTTTCAAAAAAGTTTTGCTATTATTGTTTCTATAAGCTTTATATTTAGTGGTTACAAATAGACATCTGTTTAAAAAAAATAAAAATAAAAAAATATATAAATAAATAAAACTGATGTCTATCAGGCTGTGTTCTTCAGAAGTCCATATGGATTTTTGAACCTTACCAAAGGGTACATATACTTTATTTTAAAAAACAACCTGGCCGGTAGACAACAATTCTTTTGTTTAAAAACAGATGTCTACTCAAACAGAGGCACCCACAAAAATATAAAATTTATATTAATGAGAAATAACGTTGGGTTAAAAATCCATTAATTCTTTTTTATTTATATATATATATATATATATATATATATATATATATATATAGCAACATTAGATCTTAACATTTATTCCAACTTAATTTCAATAAAAACAAAATAAATAACAAAACAAGTATTTTTCCTCAGCTTCTTTAAACTTAATATAGATTAAATTTAAAATTGGTAATTTTTAATTTTATAGTATAATTTAATATTAATTACTTAGAATGAATTCTATTTTAGTCTAACCTTAACATTAAAGCATTAAATAATTATTATAACCAAAGTTCGTTGTCAAGTTTTTGGGATTCTTATATACTTGTATTTTGATTGGTCATTCCAGCTTATGTAACAGCGTTTCCCCTAGTGAGGGGTGTTTGATTTGAACCTTTTAAAACCCTTTATTCTACATTCAACACCATCACATGATAAGACACCAGAAGTGTTGAAACAAAATGGCTATTTTTGTAGTGATTTTATAACATATTTATGTTATAATTTTCGAATAAATAATTATATTTGCTCTACTTTGTATTAAGCACTCTTAAGAATAGTATTTGTTGGTTATTGGAATTTATTCCATATACACCAATCCTATACTTTTTGTGTGTGTGTGTTATGCTGTGTATGTATCTTGTCCCAAGCCAATATACACAACAAATATATCAAAAAAATCAAAAGAAAACAGTTGAATCCATCATTACAACAACCAAAACCATGTTTCTAAATTCTCTTCAAACATAAAAGTAAATGGCGTAATTTTTCAGTTGGCCAATTTCTAATTTCTAACTTTTAATTTTTGTTTATACTTTGTTCAAATAAATTCATTTTGTTTTTTGCCTTGAAAAAGTCCGCAGTGGATGAAACACATCAGCTAAAACTATACAGTTTTCCTACTATACAGTTTTCCTACTGCAAGTTTTTATAATCAGTGTTTTTTTTTTTGAAAGACGAGAACTGAGCAACTTGACCTATACACAGGTAATTTTTTGAAGAGGTTAAAAATCATGCATTTTCAGTGACAGGTTGCACAATATATACATGCAATTTTTTCTGGATGGATTAAAATTCATGCCCCAAAATTTGGGGGTCACACTATACATGAAGTCTTCTTATACATGAGTATATATGGTACTCTTAAGATATAAGAGTGAAAGCTGCACATCTTGACCTGTGGTGTGTGATGACAGTGAGGCTCATTACTAAACCATGGGTTGTCCAACCTTTTTCCACAATGGGCCAAATTAGAAATTTAGGTATATTCACAGGGCCACAAAAGTACTTTATATAAATATGCTTTTAAAAAATTCAAAATGTTGTGAATATCAAATTTTAATAACAAATATATATAATTACAAAAAAATAATGTATTATTGATAGTGTAAAAAGAAATTATACATACACAAAATAAAATAAATTCAATGTGATTTTTGACATTGCTATCCTTTTATAATATTGTTAATATCTGATTTTATGGTACTAGTCTTTAATCTAAGAATATTAAATGAGAATCACTCAGTCTAATTCTTTCAGCAGTTTTGATGATTTTCATGCACAAAAAGAATTGTTCACAGAAGTATGTACTACCCCCACATATGTCTCAGCAAAGGCCTTTGTCCTCTTCCCCTTTTAGTGCAATAGGGAAGTGAACCTACTCGCACAATCTGGGAATAATTTTCTCAACATACATTACTAAAGTAAATGAAAATATACGTAAAGATTTTAGGGTGAAGTAGGCTGCATAAAAATATTAAGTGGGCTGCAGTGAGGCCCACAGGTTGGACATCCCTGTATTAGTTCATATTAATTTGAACACTTGTAAAATCCATAATGGGCATGCATTCCAGGTTTCGTACAGAGGTGTGAATACACTCCAAATTAACAGACCATCATTAATTTTATTTGTTAGAATCATAAAATAATTCATTAATAATGAATCTACTTACATGTTTTGGAGTAATTTCAATCCTTCGGATGAGATCTGTAGTTTCCCATTCATAAAAGGCAAGACCACTTACAGATCGCACACCAAGAAGGTGACCTCCATAAATACCTGAAAAGAATGTTAAACAAAGTTCATGTTTACAATTTACGAGTACATAAGTTATTAAAGATCAAAGTGTAGTATAAGTTGTCATTCCCTAGCTCTTCTGATCTATAACTATTATTGTTTGTATGCATGGCTTTTATGCTTTTCTATATAGAACTGTGGTTCCCAACATTTTTTTTGGTCATGACCCACCTAAGCATCTCTAAAATACTGATGCATTGACAAAGGAAACATTTGTTGTATAAAATAAATGCTTGTTTTTTTTTTAAATTAAATCATCATTAGGCTAGGCTATGGATTTGTAATACATACATACAACTACAAAAAAAAGTGATGCCCAAAGGAAAAAAAAAAAAAAAAAAAAAAAAAAAAAAAAAAAAAAGAAAAAAAAAAGAAAAAAAAAAAGAAAAATTTTTCTTGAAACTTTTATTTTACTTTTAATTCCAAGATAATAGATTAAATTTAATATTTCCAATAAGCAAAATACTTTGCTGTATTTCTAACTGACTTTAAATTGATTGGAATGATGTTTTTTAAGTTGCTAAAAATCAGCCATATTGACAAATCTGTCAACACAATTCTCTTTATTAAAAATTTTCTTTTTAAATTTTCAAAAAATTTGAAGAAGATTAACTGATTATCATATGTTGGGTTACAACCTCTAGGAGTAAAGAAAGGAGAAAAAGTGTGACATATTGAAACACTGACATTCACATTATATAGATATATTTTACACATGCACACACACACACACACACACACTTTGTCTTTACCTTCAGCTCCAAAATCTGGTTTGAATGATTTCTGTTCCTTGAAGTTCTTAGAGATTTTCACCAGGCTGTTGCTTTCACGAATGGCATACACAGCTGAATCATTGCTCCAAACAAATTCTTGGGCAGAACCAAAACTTTTGTTTCTCAGTGCCATAGCAGTGTAAATGATATATTCTCCATCTCCACAAACAACAACAAATCTGAAAAGAACAACAATAAAGAAAATAATTAAGATCAACCTGTGTATTGTATTTTGAACAAAATGGCAAACGGATTAATTAAAATGCCCAAATATGGTAAGCCCTACTTTTAAACTAATTAACTCATTCATGCTCACTATAAAATTAAGTATTAATTGCAAAAATTTAAAATAAAAATATAGTATTAATTATAGGTTTCTATCTATAACCCACTAATTATAGGTTTCTATCTATAACCCACTAATTATAGGTTTCTATCTATAACCCACTAATTATAGGTTTCTATCTATAACCCACTAATTATAGGTTTCTGTCTATAACCCACTAATTATAGGTTTCTGTCTATAACCCATAAATGGTCATCACAAAAATGGGAAGGTGGACATTAGTTATTTAACTGTTTTTTAAATTACTGCTTTTACTTTGATTCTTGTTGACCCAATTGTTTCCTTCTCCAGAAGGATTTGATAGTAAAGGCCTCCATGTGAAACACACCATATTGCTACAAAACCAAAACATTAACCTAAAAACTCTAGTCATGCTCTTAAATAGTTTTGCCAGATTGAGATTTTCATATGAATATCATGCATGGCATCAAACTCATTCAGAAATATCTCAATTGTCAGCTTTATACAATTGCTTTCTCAGATCAATAGTCAAAAATGGCTTTGAACGAATGAAGCCTGTAGGTCTCAGTGAGGACTATCCTTCTTGGAATTGTGTGGACTGACATTCTTATTTACGTGTTGTGTCAACTCAGGATGTAGGTGATCATGGCTCTCCACAATTTCGTGTCCTTTGTAGCTCTTAATAAATGTTGTCTTTTCACTATTTCTCCTGAAACCTGTTTTGTCATCCATTTACTCAAGCTAAGTATGTTATGCTTTGTTTTCCTCTGTCTCTCTTGCCATCATTCTGTCCTGAGAGTATCAGATTTTCCAAGAATCGAAAGAGAAGGAAAAAAAAAAAAAAACAAAGAGAAGACAAAAAAAAAAAAGAGAAGAGAAGACAAAAAAAAGAAAAAAAACACAAAGAAAAAAGAAAAAAAAAACACAAAGAGAAGAAGAAAAAAAAAACACAAAGAGAAGAAGAAAAAAAAACACAAAGAGAAGAAGAAAAAAAAAACACAAAGAGAAGAAGAAAAAAACACAAAGAGAAGAAGAAAAAAAAAAAAGAGAAGAAAAAAAAAAAAAAAAAAAAAAAAAAAAAAAAAAAAAAAACAAAGAGAAAAAAAAAAACAAAAGAAGAAAAAAAAAAAAACAAAGAGAAGAAAAAAAACAAAAAACAAAGAGAATGTAAAAAAAAAACAAAGAGAAGAAAAAACTGTAAGGACAGGAATAACTAAAATGAATAGCATATTTAATTCAGAGAGAAAATAATGACATAAATTGCTGATATTCCACACTACTTCAAACAAAAGGTTAGGAAGGAAACCCATATCAGTCCTGGAAACAGTGATAATAGTTACTACACTTGAGAGACCTATTTTTCTTCAAAGAGAAAAATTTTATAAATTTCAACTGAAAGCAGCATTGGCTGCTCAGTCAATGAACACCAAATGTTTCTTTATAAGTAAATAGCTAATACAGGTTCAGTATCGTTTATTTGAAATCTGATAGTTTTTCCAATGACTTGCCCCAAATGAAAAATTTCGGAAAGCACCGGGAAGGTTCCTAAGTGAGGTGCAGCTGTTGTAATTTACCCCATCTGCCCTGGATGGGAGTTCTCCAGCCCATCTACGTAGCCACCAGTTTTTGTTAGTGTTCGTCAAAGCAACACCTTTGTTTATGGATTACTTCCAGGTATTCTATGCTCAATAAACATATTATTCAAAATGTCAAAAAGTCCTACAGATACCCATGTGGGTAGTGAAAAGAAAAAAGCATTTATGCCTATCAGTAGATTTTATATAGAAATTAAATAGCCTATATTCCAAAATCCCCCCCCCACCCACCTCAACAAAAAAATCTGCAAACCAAAGCATTTCTTCCTAAAAAGCAGAGTAGGCCGAGTTTTTTTGTCTTGGGTTACAGATAGTCTAAGAGAAGTAAGATACTGAATTCAAACTCTGCTTTGGTGTGGCTGCTGGGTAGGTTAGGTTCATTAGCATTAGCAAAAAAAAAAAAGACTTTACATAGGAATGATTTGTACTCCAGAGTTGTATTATACTCAAGGATGTAATTTATTTCCTGTTTTCAGCTTCAGAAACCAGGGGTTGTATTATACTCAATGCATATTATACACAATACAGTATTTTGTGTAGAGCAAGATGGCAAGTGTTTTAATACTGACCAATGTTCCTTTCCCTAAGTTCAAAAAGAACTTTTCTCCAGCACTTTAGAAAATTTTCTCTGAAATGTTTAAAAGCCCTAATACGGTCAGTCGATTGCAAACTTCAAAAATATTAAGTTTTTCCCTGACAGTTTTTGGAGAGAAAAAAAAAAACAAAAAAAAAAAACATAGCACTGAAAAGTTAAGCAACAATCTAGTAGTACACAAATCAATAAAGTTCTCCATATTTAAAATGGAGCTGGTTTAAGTCCAACTTCCTACCTGCCATTTGGGTTATGCTGGATGGTCTGAGGATACACTTCACAGCTGCCCATGTCCTTAACGGCCAATGGTAACCTTTCACCGTCTCTAATTTCTTGGTCTCCAATAGCCTTGATATTTGCCTGCTGGATTTCAGAATGTTTGGCCCATATAATTTTGCCATTCACATCCATTGACATTGCTGGTTCTTCACGGCCGAGCTAAGCAAAAAAAAAAAAAAAAGAAATATTAAAACTATATGCAGACTCTACACATAAAACATTTTTATTTTATTATCTTTTATTTATATTTTAATAAAGCAAAAATTGTGTATTATGTCTATTGGCCTGCGTATCCAAGAATAAAGAAAATGTCCTCTTCGGCAAGAATTGAACTTGCATCCCCTTTTGTAGGAGAAACCACCGTTTGATCAGGTGTGTTTTACTACCTGCCTACAAAGCACATCACAGCATGGCTCTATTTTCCCTTTTAAAGAAAGTACAGTCTTCAATTCCTGTTGGAGAAAACATTTCTCAAATACATAAACCAATAGACATCCCTGTTTAAAGTAAAAATAAAAATGCAGTGTTTATTTCAAATATGAGTATCCACTTAGGTTTTTAGCTACCAGTTTAAAAAAAAAAAAAAAAAATAAAAAAAGTGGGAAAATTTAAAAGAAGAATTGAAAAGATGTTTTCTGGATGTTCTGTTGTAGGAGTCGGGTCAGCGTTCCAAAAAAAAAAAAAAAAAAGCAAAATTACAAGTGAAAAAAGGGTCGATGCCAGTGTTTAAACAGAAATGTAGTGTACTGTCCACAGTATTGGATCAAGTCAACGAACAGGCTTGAAAAAATAGGTGTAATTGAAAAAGTTGGCCATTCAAAATGAGTAGCACCAGTAGTGTACCTAAAGAATAAAAACAATAAAATATATGGTTGTGCTGATTTTTTGACAGGGTTAAACAAATGTTTAGAATCCTATAATTACCCATTACCAAGTCTAGAATAAATTTTTGCAGATTTAAACGGTCAAAAAGTTTTTTTGATGCTGGAGCTTTCTGAAGTGTATTTACAAATACAGATTGAAGAAGAATGTTCAGAATTAATAACAATAAGTACAGACAAGGGATTGTATAAGTTTAACCAATTTCCTTTTGAGATAAAAGTCGTTCCAACTGTATTTCAACAAGCAATGTTTGCAGATTGTGATTTTGCAGTTGCTTATCTGGATGAGATATTAATTAAAAGTGCATCTAAGGAACAACTTATCGGGCTCGTAAAAAGAGTTTTTGAAAAAATATGGGTTAAAACTCAATGAGGATAAGTGTGAATTGTTTTTACCTAGGACAAATCATTGACTAAAATGGTTGTCAACCAGATATGCTGAGGGCAAGTGCAATTAAGAATATGCCTCCTCCTCCAACAAATGTTACTAGGTCACAAGCATTTCTAGGACTAGCAAACTATTATCAAATCTATATAATTAATATGCAGAATTTGAGAGCTCTACTGAACAATTTGCTTAAAAGAGCGTAAATTGGAACTGGACTGATAAGTGTCAGAAGGCGTTTGAAGAAAAGAAGAGAATTCTAACATTAGACACCATTAGTGCACTTTGATCCAAAATCAGAAATAGTATTGGCTTCAGATACCAGTGACTATGTTATAGGAGTGGTAATTCTACATAAATATGATGACGGTAACATGAAAACCATTACACATGCTTCAGATTCGTTACTACCAGTAGAAAAAAAAACTACAGCCAGAATGAAAAAGCGGCATTTGCAATCATATTTGCAGTGAAAAAAATTTCACAAATTTATACACAGAAGGGGTTTTTGTTTACAGATGGACCACAGACCTCTATTATCAATTTATGGCTTAAAAAAAAAAAAAAAAAAAAAAAAAGAAGGAATTCCTATGCATACAGTAACTAGATTAAAATATGATTACAGGATGGAATACCAACTGTTCAAAAAATTTAGTACATGCTGATGGCTTATCAAGATTGATACCAAAAAATACAGAACTGTTAGGACACTTTTATTGCAGCCTTAAAAAGTGAAATAGAAATTAAAAATATATTATGCAATGTAGTACACGAAGTACCAGAGTTACCCTGGAAGAAATAAAATTAAATACAGAACAAGACATGTTTATTTCAAAAATAAAAAAATTATAAAATCTATACATGGAAGAAGTATTTATTTAAAGATTGACTACTATCCTCTATCATCAATTTATGGTTTGCAAAAAGGAATTCCTATGCATACAATGAATAGATTACAACATTGGGGTACCATCTTATTAAATTATGATTTCAAGATGTCCTAAAAATTAGGACAACTGATGGTTTATCGAGATTGATACCAAAATATACCTAACTGTTTGAGGACACTGTTATTGCAGCCTTAAAAAGTGAAATAGAAATTAAAAATATTTTATGCAATGTAGTACGCAAACTACCAGAGTTACCCTGGAAGAAATAAAAGTAAAAGAAGAACAAGACATGTTTATTTCAAAAATAAAAAAAATGACTAAAAGAAAATAAGAAAGTTAAATGATTTTTAGAATGCAATCCAGACTTGAATGCTTACTTACTGATGTTTGCATAAAGAGTAGTAATACCGGGCATATTACAAAAGCAGATATTAAATGAATTTCATAGTTGACATCCAGGAATTTCAAAGATGAACTCTCTTATGAGAAGTTATGTATTCTGGACCAAAATGGATCAAGATATTGAAAAATAATAAATGCCTGCAGAGGATGTGCTCTGGCAGCAAAATTACCTACCATGAAATTACAACCATGACCAAAGACAGATGCTCTGTTGTCAAGACTGTACATAGATTTTGTAGGTCCAATAAGTGGATCACATTATCTTGTGGTAGTGGATAGCTTTACAAAGTAGCCTAAAATTTATAAGTGCAAAAAAACAACTTCCATGATTACAGTGATTTTTTTTACAAACTGTTTGCAAGATATGGCATTCCAGATGCCATAGTCTTGGATAACAGTACACAATTCACCAAGTAATGAAAAAATGATCAAAGAAGCCATACAAAAAATTCTTCAGAATCCCAATACACCAGCAGAATTGATGTTCACAAGAAGAATTATATCAGTGTTCAAAAAGTTGTTACGAGGTCAAAAAAGAATAAGAATGGATAAAAAAAGACACAAATTTTTTTTAAATTGGCGAAAAAATGTTTTTCAGAGTATGTAGAAATATGGGAAGACAGCATAATAAGGTCACGAATTGAAAAAAAAAAAAAAAAAAAAAAACGGGAACATAAAATTCATTGGAATCAGTTAAAGAAAAGGTTTACTGAAGAAAGGCTCCCAAGAAAGGAAGAACCCATGCAAATACTGTATGATATTTTTGACATACTAAAACCCCAAGAATTTGATTAACATACAAGCATCATTAACATAAAAAGGAAACATATAGAGAAACTAGAGGTTGACAAAATACAAAATTCAGTACATGACAAACTCTCCAGAAAGAGTAGGGTGGTGAACATTAAGAAATAAAATATTTACTAGTTAAAAATCTTAAAAGGAGGTGAGGTGGGGAGTTGTAGAGTAAATAAGACACCCCTGGTAACACAAATGAAGTAGGCAAGACACCTTAAATAAAAAGTGAAGTCAAAGAGAATTTTCAATAACATCACAGCGTGTAGCCTAAATGAAACATAATTATAACCGCTAGAAGTGAGTTATAACAATCGGTCAATGTATGGCTATTTTAAGAGGTGTGACACACTGATGGACTAACAGAAGTCACAGAATTTTGTATATAGATAGATTTTATTACTAGTTTTATCTTATTGTTGCTTTTTATCACAACACATTTTCAATACATTCCTCATTATTCCTATTTTATTAATACTTTCACTCAATATTGTTGATTTTTATTGATAACATTATGTCAATACTTCTCTAATTATTAGCTTTATTCTATTATTAGTAATAAAATAACATTAATAATAAAGAAGGAAATGAGTTAATAAAAAGCAAAAATAAGATGGAGTCAAACTAGTAATGTAATATATTATTGATAATGCTTTAAGAGAATTTCAAAATAAATCTCTTCTTTTCAGTCAATGTCAAAGTGATTGACAAGTGGGATAACAAACAGCAAAAAAAAACAAAAAAAAAAAAAACACACACACTAAATTGTCTTCGGCTGTTTTGTAATTTGTTACACTATTTTAACCTAAACATCTTTGGTTAGAGTGTTGAAATGTTTTCAGGCTCAATCCACTTTCCAAAATCTGACCAAACAATAGAATTCGGTGGGGGAATCCCTTGTTAGCCAGGCAGAAAATCTTTTCATCATCCCTCCATATTTTTCTTTATAAAAAAAAAAAATGTTCTTATCCTTTTACCTTTATAATGATGCTGCCTTCATCGTAACCAAGTGCCACATTGTTGGAGCCTTTCTGGCAAGAGATAGTCCACACACGCTCCAGACCATAGTTCAGAGTGCTTTCCAAACGGTAAGTGTTGGCATGCCAGATTCTGACGGTACCTTAAAACAAAGAAATATATATATATATATATATATATATATATATATATGAATTGGGATCAAATATTAACTAAAATCTAACAGAATGATAGAGTAAGGAACAAATAGGAAACATTCATAAATTGAACAGGTTTTGCTTTTATTTAACCTTCAACAGAATTGATATATGGAAGAGAACAGAAAATTCTGTTATTTTTATTTTTGTGTTGTTTGTTTTTCATTCGTTAAGTTGATTTCACATGCATTTGTCTTGTTTAGTAGCATTTGTGTGTATAATTCTTGTGTATCATAATTCTAGTCAATCTACGCTTGATTTTGCATAGTGTGTGTGTGTGCATTGAGTAGGCATTTTATTTCTGTTTGGTAGTGTTTGTATGTTGACTGGGGGATGTTTGTGTGGGAGTGAAAGAATATATATATATATATATATATATATATATATATAAAAAGACAAAAGGAAAACTTAGCTGATGTGTTTTGTTATCTGATGGACTTTATCAAGGCAAATGTAAGGATTCTATTTTGCAAAACGTATTTATACATAGAAATAAAAATGTTAATATTTCAGAATTTTTCAATTTAAGAACATTCATAAATATACTTCAGGCTAAGTTTTCCTTTTGACAGATATATTTTTAGTTATAAATTGTCATCTAAATTATGCAAAAATGAAAATAACACTGACATCTTATTTTACCATATATATTTACCAAAATTACACAAAAATATCTTGAAATACTAAAGATTAAATTTTTTCAATAAGATCGCCATTGGCTTCAACCACAGCCTCCAGATAACTTTGGAATCTCCTCTAACTCTTCTGGACGGTCTCCTTGTTTAAGTTGGTGAATGCTGCCATATTCCTTGCCTTCAGTTTATCTTACAAGGAGTTTTGTTGGTCTCTCTCAACTGCAACCCACACATAATAATCAAGGGAGTTGCAGTCTGGAGAGTTAGGTGGTCAGATGTAAGGGGTGATGTGGTTGCAGAAATTGTCTGAAAGCCATGACTGGGTTCTCCTGTTTGTGTGGCATGGTGCAGAGTCCTGTTGCCAGATAAAGATTGTATTTCCAGACTGAAGGCAACAGAGCCATCCAACCTATGCTGGTGTTTATTGTCACATTGCCAAGGCAGGATCTGTAGCACCACAAACCATGGATCAAGATCTGCTTGTTTGCCTGACCATGAAGAACATATTCTACATGACCTTTTGGACATATGTTTATATGGACATTTTACCTAGTTTTGATCTCAGGAACCCACCCTCAAAGTTTGTAAAAGTATTTTTGATGCATCCTCTGTGTGTGTGTGTGTGTGTGTATATATATATATTTGGTTGGATAGATGTGAGTTTGTGACCCTGGGTTTCACGCTTTAGCGATCGTCAGACAAACTGATTAATGTTTTAAAAAATTTGGGTTTATGTAGATTGCTCTATCTCTGATATTGAGCGCTTTCTAATAAGTACCGCGCATATAATATATAAATAATTATACATATACATATTTATTTATATTTATATACAGTTTTCACACACACATATATATATATATATATATATATATATATATATAGCATAATGAGAAGCCACATAAGAAAAATACTGGATTTTAAAATTAAATACATAAACTAGGGTTAAATAAAGACTTGGGTATTTTAAATCTTTATAAATATTTCAATAGTTAAACATTATTTTTAGAAATAGTTAAAAAATTGTTTTTAAACAACATCTAAAATATTATTACAGTTAGATTTACGTTAAAAATATTCGAACACAGTGGTGTTCCATATCACGCGACGGACGCTACTTGTAAACAAACCTCTAAAAACAGTTATTTCTGAAGAAAGATTGAGGTCGATCTGAAATATCAAAACTATATATATATATATATATATATATATAAAAAAAATATATAAATACTTTCATAAAAAATATCTTTTTAATTTGCAACTTTATATATATATATATATATATATATATATATATATATATAAAAAATGTAAATAAAAATGGCAAGACATGCTTTACCATTTATGATTAAAAGGAAAATAGGAAGAGGAAAAAAAAAAAAAAAGAAGTTTAACCAGCCGACTGGTCTTGCCCTCACTCAACAAAGCTGAAATTGAGGGAAGACTAAATATTGCAATATAAAAACTTGAAATGATTTCCATCTGACCTTTTCACCTTTATTTTATCACATGCTGCTCATGTTTTTATATTGCAATATTTAGACTTCCCTTGAATTCAGCTATGTTGAGCGAGGGCAAAACTGGTTGACTGGTCAAATTTTTTTTTTCTCTTCCTATTTTCTTTTTAATCATTAATGGTAAAGCACGTCTTGCCATTTTTATTTCCATAATAAAATTTTGTACCCCTGTAGTTTGTATAGTCTGTATTGCTATGACGTCACTTGTACAAATCAAGATAACGCTGGTTCAATTCGCCATCCTTGCTTTCTGAACACGTCACAACATATATCCGTCTCCCCTTTTCACTGATTCAGCCCTCTTTTATCAGGCCAACACTGGTCAACCAACCAATCAGCGTTCTTTGCTTTTATTCTCAGTTATCCAGACAAATAGCCTTCTCCAGTTCAACCAATCAGCACACGACTTGCTATTGGTGGAAGCATGCCAAACTGTACAAAAACCCTCGTTACCGCACATACTGCTAGATGGGAGAGTAATGCCATTTTCACAGGGCAAACTTGCCGATGTCATGTGTTGCCCATTAAGGTAAGACCCTTATTTTCCTATGCACCAGATGCAAGCTACTCTGGCTCGCTTGCTTTTACAGGGCTGTTCACCACAACCCCCAAGAAAATAATGAAATATATATAAATAATGTGGGGAAAATTATGTCAACTGGGATTTCATTTTGGAATTAAAAAATTTATTGCATTTATTCATATACAATGTATAAAGTAAGAGAATCAAAAGTTAAAATGATGTTCGGAGGTGGAGTTCACTCTTTTTTAATATACATCTGTATATTTTTGGTCATTTCTTTATCAACATAGCCACTATGTACAGTACACAGTGAGGATCAAACTCACCAAGTAGTAATGACCAACCAGACACTAATCTCACTAACCATTATCTGATACAAAAGAGCCCACTATATACAATGGTCTTCTCAAAGAAGATGGCTCTTCTCATGAACAACCAACCTAGGTGTACCATGACTAATTTGGCTAGACATGAGTAATTATGGCCTACTACAAATTCTTCTTCTTCCTTATCTGTGAGTTATCATGACTTCTTGGAAAAGATAATGGCTTCCAGTTGCCTTATTGCCTATTTAATTCAGAGTAGTCCTTCTCCTACCCCGTTATTTAAACCCTGGCTGGAGGGAAAGATTAGATGAATTCAGACAAAAGTGAACATAAACTCAGCTGAAATTTGAACTTGACTTGTTAATTCCACTGTCTACTAATTACTAATAATAACCATTACACCACCAATACATGTTAAAAGATGGAATAATAATTAGTAAGAGGAAGAACAGTGATAAAGACAACAAAATCATTAATAATAATAATACCTTGACAACAATATTATTAATAGGAATTATAAATATTTCAAGCTAGCTACTTACCATCTTCAGATCCAGTCATGATGATTGGAAGCTCTGGGTGAAAGGCTACAGCCGACAGATTCTGGGCATGCCCTTCTAATGTTTGAACGCACGTCTTGTTCTACAATACAGAAAAATGAATACATTAGCTTGCCTTATATATTCTGACACACAAGACAAAACTAAAATGCACAGTTTCTTCAAATGATATCTGATAAACCAACTAAGCTATACACAAAGCTATTTACAATAGACACATTTTTATAAAATTAGCAGTACACCATGTAATAGTGACTATCAAGTTAGTCTCATAAATAAACAATTACAACTGTAACAAGTTCAATCATCACTGACTGCACCATGCATACAACCTTGTACCAGACTTAAATTTAGAAAATAATGATAGACACAGACCTACTGAGACATGGACCAATATTATAATTTGATATTAGGCTTTGTCCAGCCTCAGGCCAATATCAGAATTTGAGATGAGCTTTCGTTTGGCCTTGGGCCAATATAGCAATTTGAAATGAGCCTTCGTTGGCCTTGGGCCAATATCAGAATTAGAGATGAGCCATTATTCACACAAAGGGTGTCTTATAATAGATTTGATAATATTTTTTGGCAGCATCTATACTATTTTTAATGGAATTGAATCTTATTGATTATCTTGGATATAGCTTCTTTTTTTTTTCTAAAGAGGATGAATTCAGAAATACAGTTATGTGTAATATCAATGTTATTAGGTCAATGCAAAAATTTCCAGCATTTTCTGACAAAATCTTTTGTTCATTTACCTTCATAGCATCCTTATTCACTTATCAAAATATTTTCATAGATTTCTACAACTGTTTACCAAAATTGTGTATTCCATAAAAAAGAAATATAGTTCTGGCTTTGACTAATTCTTTGAGGAATTTTAATATGTTGAACTTTTTGGAACTGCTAACCAGACAAACAGTGTTAGTTTCATGGTGAGGTAGTTAAAGAACTTCCCATTCTAATGTCTCCATCTGAACTCTGAAATTTCATTTATTATTTTTTTCCTTTCTCCTCAATAGAAGTAGATTGGTTTGCTTATGGTCCAGTTCACACTCTTCCCCAGTCTTTTGAGCAGGAGTAGAGATTTATCCCTTGTTTCCTGTCTAGAATTAGGTTTTCTGGTTCCTTCTAAAGTCTACTTCATCTCTATACTTCTAATGTCTCTATCTGAACTCTGAAATTTCATTTATTATTTTTTTCCTTTCTCCTCAATAAGAGTAGATTGGTTTGCTTATCGTCCAGTTTACACTCATCCCCACACTTCTGAACAGGAGTATAGGTTTATCCTTTGTCCCTGTTTAGGATCGGAGTTTCTGGTTACTTCCAAAATCTTTTCTCTTTCACTGATAGATTTAGAGAATATCCTGCATGCAGAACAACTTCCCAGTCCATTTCTATGATAATTTCCTGCCTTTTTATTTGCAACATGAGGAAGTAATGCTGTCATGCAGTAAAATTTTCAATTGACTTTCTTGCTCAGAAACGGTCTTTTTTTTCTTTTGTTCCAATGTCTTGTTCGTATTAGCCAATTGCTTACTGTAGCGTTGCATTTTTTTAAAATTTCCAGCTGAACTACTGACTCACAATGAACTGATGTTTCCTTGAGGAGACCCTGTGTCTTGAGAGGATATTAGGATTCAAACTCACCTCAAGTTGAACTCATATATACGATCCATTGCTAAAGATGCAGGTAAAATGATCGGCTCCCTCTACCGCTTTAGTAAGTCCAACTTCTCATGTTATCCTCTACTCTTATAAGAGCCAGATCAGGTGGAAAATGGAGTACCATTGCCATATTTGGGTGGGATCTGCCCAAACCTCACTTCCCACTCTTGATAGAGTTCAAAAGTGTCTCAGAGTCTTTATGGAGAAGAATTATTTTCTACTCTCCAACCTCTCTCTCCCTCTTTCTCCCTCTCTTTCTCACTCACACACACACACACAGGATGTGAGGAGTCTCTCACTGCTCTATCGCTACTACCATGGAACGTGCTCAGCATTTCTTGGTTCTGCCAGGTCTAACCTTCACGGCTAAGACCCACCATTCCACTTACATAGTAGCATACCATCCACATTCCCACTGTATTCCATCGGCGAGAAGGCAAGTTCCACTCAAACAGCTTCTTTCCGTGAACTACTGCTATATGGAAAAGACTCCTAAGAGGATGTTTCCACTGATCATTACAATCTTAACCTAGTCTAAAGTCAACCATTATCTTCCTCACCTATCAACATAAACTACCCCTTAATCTAACCCTCTACCTCAAGTGGCTCCTGAGCCTTGGACAGAGTAAACCTTACTGTAAAAAGAAAAGAAAAATCCCCTTTGAAACCCATCAAACACAGAAAAATACCCCCACTCCATTTAGGCCAAGATGTTAGCACCTATCCTGTACCTAGCCACAATAATTAATCCACCCTGGATATGACGATAAACTACATCTGGCAGCAAAGCCTCTGATTGGGAGGTTTTGAGGGGTGTGAAACCACATCTTAATTACTGCTGTTTCCAGGTTCACCTGTTAGGCTCCCAGCTATGGGTAAATAGTTAACCCTCAAATTGGGGTCAAAGCAAAAAGGCATAAAAAATTTTTTTTTAAAAATGCATTTTTTATAGAAGTACTAGCAATACATTTTGGGGAAAAAAAACTATTACCAGCAATAGATTTTTGAAGAAAAAAAAAATTTTTTTTGACCAGCAATAAATACATATTCTATTCATATGAACATATCCTAAAAATCTTGTTGACATTAAATAACCTATCGAGGTTGATATTAAAACAAAATAAACCAAACCACAATAATAAATCAATTCATTGCCAGTTACTATCTTGTTAAAAGCGGCTAGAAAAAACCAAAAAAAAAAAAACGCTTATCTGTTTGAACTCTTGTTATACATACATGTGCTGATCACATGATAAAAGTTTTGTATTTATGAAAAAGAGACCACCTACCAATAATATACACCACATGCTGGCAGTGATTAAAAGAACAATCATTGATTTTATATATGTGTGTGTGTGTGTGTGTATAAAATTAGGAGATCAGCCGATTCTGCAACCTTAGTTTAAAAAGGAAAACTTAATGACATGTTTCATCCTCTGACTTTATCAAGGCAAATGTAAGGATTTTATTTTGTGACAAGTATTTACATACAAGAGCAAAAATGTTATTAGTTTTTCGAAATTTAGTATAGGAGTTCTCATGAATATTCATCAGGTTAGTGGAAAAGTTGGACACATTCATGGACATGAGGTGACAGTTCAATGCCTAATAAATGAAGTGAGCAGGAGGTATTTTTTTTATGTATGTATATAACACATATAATGAGATTGATTTGTGTTATATGTTTTGAACAACATCAGGTTATGAATTTAACAGTTTTCTTTTAATTTTTTTGTATTTCTCTGGTCATGTATCTCGACTTGGGATAGTAGTAATTCTTTCAAGAAAGGAGATATTGAGAAGAATCAGGGGCACAGATTTATAGAGTGGCATTCACTAGGTTAAAGTTGTGGTTGAATTTATTTCTATGTATGACTAATAAGATAAATTAGTGTGTATAAGGCCTCTTTTATCATACTATTATATACCATACCCATGAACACTAATATATATATATATATATATATATATATATATATATATATAAAAACCTAGTGAGCCAGACAAACTTACCTAGGTTTCACCTAAACGGATCGTCAGGGAAAGATGGCTCTTTCCCTGACGATCCATTTAGGTGAAACCTAGGTAGGTTTGTCTGGCTCACTAGGTTTATCTAGGTCTGCTCTACGGTTGTATTGAGCTCTTTTGTTAGTTAGTTGTTTACTCGTATCGGGGTTTTTTCATTGGGCTTCAAACCTGTATCTGTGCGATTTTTTTCCACAGACTTTCATGTTTATAGCTCTTTCTTTTTTTTTTTTTTTTTTAAAACCTTTTCCCTAGAGATTGATTTGATTGTTGGCAAATCAAAAATTCAAGGGTTTTTCGAAACGAGTATAGTTATATAACACCTATGAACACTAATAGGTATGTCCCAATCCTCATAAATACGTTGAACACTATTGTGAGTGGAAGTAATATGTTGTTTAAGTAGTGCACCACTACCAGTGGTTTACCTACTTTATGCCACTGGCAAGTATTGTCTTTGTTGATGTTATAAAGATTACCATTTTCTATTTTGGTTATTCCTCATTCAGTAACCCTTTCTAGGTTACAACAGAAACATTTTTGTTTTTAAATTTCTGCAAGTTTCTGCAATGTATTATGAGGAACAGTTTTGGCAATTTATTTTGTATACTAGCTGAATTACCTGTTCTTTGCTGCGTGTCACACATTTTTTTTTTTTTTTTGTAAGAAAATGATTGATTGGTTTTAAAATAATTGTTATAATTTGTGGAGAAAAGTGATGCATTTCAATATTACTCAATGATCTTGCTGATCTGACCTCCATCCTCTGGCTTTCTCCTATATTTTGGATAGGTGTCATCTCCTTGTTCAAATTTAAATTAAATGAAAAGGGAAAAAATTTTCCGTGTGTGTGTGTGTGTGTGTAGGGGTGGGTGTCTGTGCCCTCCATTGATCAAAATGAAATATACTTCTCAAGTACCCTGGGTAATGTAGTTTCAGAACATATGTTTATAGGGGTCTATCTCCAAAACTCTAGGAGAAATCTGATAACAGACAGACAACTTCTTTATTATATATATGGATATAGATCCGACAGTATGAAGAAAAATACAGAAAAAACAAACAAAAATTTTAATATGCAATTATGCTGTATTAATGTTAATATAAAGTCAACGTTGGACGTTTCGGTCTATTTAAGACCATCTTCATGGACATTTTCATTTAAACATAATTAACATTAGAACATATATAAAATTTAACACAAAAGACGATGGACATAAGAGCACAACTAATCCAAACAGATAACTGAAATTTTTATATAAAATCAGCGTTCCGTTTAAATATGATCACGTTGTCGTCACGTGGGCGATGTTGTGAAAACGTATTTGAAGATGATTTTCAAATATTAAAAAAGTCGATTGAACTATTTTATATAAACAGTTCAAGAAATCCCTTCCGTTGATATATGAATATGTAGAGAATCAATAGGGTCTTATATCTTCATACAAGCTTGAAGTCCTTCAGTCTTTCATGATTTTTGTTTGTTTTTTCTGTATTTTTCTTCATACTGTCGGATCTATATCCATATATTTGCTTACATACTGTCTACTGGAAATACACACCTGAATTTACTTTATAACATGGAAGACTTCAAGCTTGGACGAGAATATAAGAATCTATTGATCAAGTAAGGAAAGGATTTATTATCGAACTGTTTTTTAGAACTGTTCCATCGTTTTTTAAATCATTTTTGATTTGCTTTGTAACGTGAAGGACTTCAAGCTTGTATGAAGATATAAGAACCTATTGATTCTCTACGTATTCATATATCAACGGAAGGGATTTCTTGAACTGTTTATATAAAATAGTTCAATCGACTTTTTTAATATTTTAATATTTGAAAATCATCTTCGAATACGTTTTCACAACATCACCCACGTGACGACGACGTGATCATATTTAAACGGAACGCTGATCTTATATAAAAATTTCAGTTATCTGTTTGGATTAGTTGTGCTCTTATGTCCATCGTCTTTTGTGTTAAATTTTTATATGTTCTAATGTTAATTATGTTTAAATGAAAATGTCCATGAAGATGGTCTTAAATAGACTGAAACGTCTGACGTCAACTTTATATTAACATTAATACAGCATAATTGCATATCAAGATTTTTGTTTGTTTTTTCTGTATTTTTCTTCATATATAGATATATATCTGCTTCGGAATTATTATTGTTGTGGGTATTTTTGGTTCTGATCATATTCATAATCGTTTTGGATGTGCTTGTAATTATTTTCATGTTGTTCAGATTGAATAAATTGTTTTGGATAGTGGATGTTATAGTTGTACTATGTTTTTATCTAGTTTATTGTTGTTAATAATGTTATCTTTTTGTGGTTGTATATTCTGTATGCCTTTCTTTTGGCACTGTAGATGAAATAAAGATATTTGAGATTTTTGAAAGTGTTTTCTGTGTATATTTCTTCTTGGAGTAAAGTATTGGGGGCTGTATTGTAGAACTTTCTCCTTACATTTAGAATATGGAGGAAATGAGGGTAATTCAACTCCATGGATGTAGCAAGGCAGGGCAGGGCTTGGCTGTAAAGGTCTGAACTAGTGGAACTAAAGAATAAAGCCCATCTGAACATTTGCTATGGGAGTAAGAATAGGCTAGTGATGTTGCGCCTGTGGGAAAAAGACTGCAAATTGGAGAACAAGTTTCCCAGCACAATATATCACCAACAATATTGGACTATCAAGGCAGGAGTGAAGATTGAGTTGCTCCAGATCAAATATATTAGCTTCTTGTACATAAACTTTTAGTATTTGCTGTGTCATGATAATATGCAATCATTTTGATACATTTGTTTAATATATCTTCTTGCGACATAGAGAATTAGTAATGTTAGACAAAGAAAAAAAAAAGAAAATATACTTTACCTGATAATCCCAAATCTTCGCTAATCTATCATCAGCTCCAGAAATCAGGTAGGGCTTATCACCACCAGAATAATAATCCACACAATTAACTCCCTTCTCATGTCCTTCCAATGTAAAATTTGGAGTAGGTGAACCAAGCTGCCATACCTAGGAAGACAAAAAAAAAAGTTGGGGTGAATTATAATACATAACTAAAATATCAATAACAAACATGACGCTAAAAACTGATGCCATCAAAAAGGTCATTGATGAAAATTATGAACAATGTAGGTCTGAGAACAGAGCCTTGAGGGATATCTGCATCAATGCAAAAAGATCGAGAAGAGTAGCCATTCAAGACAACTTTCATTTTATAATGGGAATGACTGCTAAAAATATCCAGCTCCCCAAATCCTGCAGATGCATGCTGGGATTTCTTCTGAACCAATAAAAATAAACAATTCTCAGTTTTATCCCCATTTTTGTTCTTTTGTTTCAAAGTCAGAATGCTATAACTACTTGACTGTATCCTTTTTGCATGTGAACACAATTCTCACTTAGTGAATTTTTTTGCCTTATTACTGTTGTTTTACCTAGTTTTGACTTGCATATATATTGTTTGCTTAGTATTATTTTGCCCTGTTCTTTTTCTTTTTTTCTAATTGTTTGAGAACTTTGTTAATTCCACTTGTTGAGAATTCTGCCCAGATTTTGATTAATTTTATCTCGTCAATCTAATTAATTTTATCTTTTGAGTAATATTTCAAAGAGAACTTTATTGTAAGTTATATTTATTTATAATAGAAAATATTGTATTATTCAAAATAAAACCAGATATCCAATCTTGAACAGGAAACAAAGGATAAACCTCTACTTCTGTTTAAAAGACCGAGGGGGGAGTGTGAACCGAACAAAAAGTGAACCTATCTACTCCTATTAAAGGAAAAAAAAAAATTATATATATATGTATAAGATTAACAAATATTAGGGGATCTGCAAAAGTGTTTAATAAATAAAGAGTATTTTTGTGTTATCACACGATTGAACTTGGAAAAGGCCTAAATCCATCTCTTCTTCCCCCAGCTATAGGTTAAATAACAGGGAAGGAACATCAGTCTTCATCCAGAGAAAATAATGTTTTGTATATAGTAAAATTGGAAGTCTTCTATTATCAGCTCCTTATAGGTTCACCTATCATCTGGTTCAAATTCTTCCCTAGTTTTTGAGCAGGAGTAGAGGTTTATCCCTGGTTTCTGGTTTAGGATTGGGTTTCAAGTTCCTTATAGAATCTTCTCATTCGCTTTCACTCCCAGTAGCCCCTTGCATCTTAGTGGCATTATCGCCATGCTTAGGGTGAAATGAAATAAAATATATATATATATATATATATATATATATATATGAATGAAGGGAAAGAAAGTGGGAGAGGGAGAGGTAGTATGCTTCTAATGGCATTGAACAAAGTCACTGGGCAATGGATTCTCACCTTTACAGTTCTGTCAAGAGAGCCACTGGCAAAGGTGTTGTTATCCTTAGGGTTGATCACAATTTGCATGACGTAGTGGGTGTGGCCTTCAAAAACTTGGGTGCATGCCCATTTCTTTTCCCAATCCCACAATTTGATAAGCATGTCATCTGAAACGACAAAAATCATAAGCAAATGAAAAAAAATAAAATTAACAAAAAACACAAAAAAAATTACGTTCATCAAAAAGTAATGTTTGATTCTCAAAGCAAGAATAAAAAAACCCATTCAAATACACTTTTTTTTAAAGCAAGAAGCTTATAAGCATGATTAGTCCAAAACTTGATCCATTCATTTTTTATGGTCTATCAACCCTTTGCAGGTTATTCAAAGTCAGAATTTTATTTTTAGATAATAATGGTTTAGTAATACAAGTCTTGCAAATTAAACCATAGCTGGGGAGAGAAGAGGTGGATTCATACTTTTTCCAAAGGTATTTGCATGCAAGTGAATATAACGTATCCAATGGAAATTTGAACTCAGCATTCTGATTAACACTTCAGAGCCATTATCCATTAAACCACCTGCACATTTAAGCTTACAGCACCGGGTATTCACAAGTGGTCAATCATCTAAGTACTGACTGGGCTCAATGCGGCTTAACTTTGGTCATCATACAAAAAGCTAGTGTTTCAAAATGACATGGTAGATAGATAGATTATGCTTGACCGGAGTGTTTAAAGTGTTATATGTCGCCCTCAGTAAGAGCACTCCGGTAAGTCTGTCGCCCGCGAGTAAAGGCACTCGATCGGCGTAAATAAGCCACAGAGTAAGGCCTCCGATCGATGTGCTGAGTAAGGCACTCCGGTCGGCGTAATGTACAGAGTAAGGCACTCCGATCGGCGTAATCGCCAGTGGGCACTCCGATCGTATCGTCGCCCACCAGTGAGCACTCGATCGGCGTGTCATACCGAGTAAGGCACTCCGATCGAGCGTAATCGCCACCGAGTAAGGCACTCCGATCGAGCGTAATCGCCACCGAGTAAGGCACTCCGATCGAGCGTAATCGCCACCGAGTAAGGCACTCAAATAGGAGTGCATTGACACACTTGTCTCCTAGTAAGGCTCTTTCTATTGATCTTTATACATTTCTGAGATTTTTTTCTTTGTTTAATTTTCATGTTTCCCACACTAATATCTGTGTATAATACTGTAGAATGCCAATTAGCAAGAGAGCAAAGCTATGAGCTTGAACTTCAGAGGTCTCACTTGTGACCATGTGAATTAAAAGAGAGAGAAAAAATTACCAAGTCAAAAATGCCGAGAAATTGCTTTAATCACTAAATCATCCACAGTAAATTTGCATCCAGGTTCTTATGTTTCACCTTTCTTGGCAGATCTTCTATTATCATAATGTGAGGTATTTAATGACAGAAGAGATAAAGACATAAACAAAGAAAAAGAATCTAAATTAAATCAGCCAGATTATATACCCAAAATGCACACACACACACACACATATATATATATATATATATATATATATATATATATATATATATATATAAATAAAAAGAAAGAACAGCAAGATATATAATCCGGTGTTCTTATAGATATTTTTATTTTTACAAAATAGTGCTCAATGTAAATTTACAGAGTATTAATATTATACATTAATTGATTTAAAATAAGTTTTTTTTAAGCTACACAGTTCTAACCATGTTTCAAAATGGAAGCTAAAAGCCCCAATTTAATTTTGTGATTAAATTAAAAATTAAACTTGAGGATGAAATGGAACTAATGTCTTTAATTTAATCACAAAATTAAATTCGGGGCTTTTAGCTTCCATTTTTGAAACATGGTTAGAACTGTGTAGCTTAAAAAAAACATTTTTCAATATATATATATATATATATATATATATATATATATATATATATATATATATATATATATATATATATATATATATAATAAAAGGCTAATCCTCTTGGAATTTTTATTCAAAAAAATATATATGTATATATATATATATATATATATATATGTGTGTATATTTACCACTAATATATATATATATATATATATATATATATATATAATATTAGTGGTAAATATACACATACATATGCAAAATATATATATATAGAAGGATTATTTAAATTTAAGATTCTCAATGCATGCCCGCATCTATGTAAACATAAACTTAGTCCGATGAGGTCCTAAGGGGCAAAACATCACATGAAATGTTCCACTTTGTTATACTTCTTTCCTATAATGTATAATATAACTATTAACAAGCCCAAAAGACTAAAAAAATAGAGCAATGCATACTCACAAACTTGTTAAGAAAAATAACTGAAATCTATACTATAACAACCAAGATGTATCTCCCCCTCACAACATTAAAAGAACGCACCATTACTCCATCACAGATTTCACATTGTTAACAATGATAAAACGGCCCTGAATACATCACTGGATAATGTTTATTGCTCAACCAAGATAACAACTGCTTATCATACAAGCTTATACAGCAGGCCCAAAAGTGCCACCCAAGGTGGACGCCCCTAGCCCCTCTAGTGAAGCTACTGCATGCCAAGCTAAATCATCTAGGTGCCTTGGTATAGAGCAGTGTTTCTCAACCTTGCACCTGTAGAATAACTAAAACTCTGGGGCACACTTTAAATTTTTAATAAGAAAAAATTTGTCATGAAGTTTGAAAATATGAAATTTTGGTTTAGCATTCCCAGGAAGAAAAATAGCAGTACTGTTTTCATTTAAAGGGATTTATGAATTTAGAGAGGCCGATAATGACAGATTTAAAACCCTTGAGTAAGGCAAATATCCACTCCTGGGAAATTAAGGAATTTATTATCCAGTTTAAAATATCAAATGACAAAGACTTTAGACATGGAAGCAATGTGCTTGGTGTGTAACTTTTTAAAAAATAAAGAAAACTCATAAATTACTCATCCGATAACTTGGCACACACCTGGTACCTTTCAGAGAACGTTAGTGTACCTGGGCACACTGATAGAGAAACACTGCCATAGAGTAATGATTTGTAAGATAGTAGACAAGTAATACTGTAGCAAGATCAACCCTTATAGGATACACAAAATTTATAACCTTGCACCACACAAAGTTTAACCAATACCTGGATCTGCTATGATGTGTCAAATCTACCAATGTCAATGCTTGAGTCCAGACAAAATCCAAGATTTCAAATGTTAATTTTCAAGACAGGTAATCTGTTTCCGTCTTGGAAGGTTGGCACAACAAAATCTTTTTATTTGCATTTTCCCCTTAGTTGATACTAAGTGAAACTTAGTAAACTATCACTACCAATTACATCTCTTTGGTTCTATCCCTATGGGGATTGTTCACAGAAAAGAAGCCTTAGACAGGAAAGACACGGACTTACCACTGCTGGTGAGTATGTACGGCTGTGTGGGATGAACGGCAATGGAACGGACATAGTCAGAATGAGCTTCAAACTGGAACACTCTTTCAAGTGTGTTGTAGTTGAACACACGAATCTGCATATCGTCCTATAATGCAAAAACGGGATTTTCATTTTAAAAAGAGGTTTCAATCTGATCAGGGTTTCGTTTTCAGAAATTACAGGCAGCAAGTTTACTTAAAAGATATTTTAAGAAGTTTGTCATGTTTAAGAATATAAGTTAAACTAGTATCCTATCTATTTTAGCTGATATAATCTAAAGGATCTAGTTCTCAACGTTTATGCTTGAAACAAAAGGAGTCACTGCAGAACCTTTTTGAAAGTTCAAATAGGCTCTTAAACTTGACAGTAGACAAGCAATGATACTCAGCATCACACAGTCCAAGTCCCTTTGAATTAGTTTGAAAGATTTGCATATGCTGTAAAATGATATTACTATTTGTAAAATTGTTGCAATTAAAGCAGTTAAACTGGTTTAAACATTTTGGGAATCATTTATTTCATACTAGCTTAAAAGCCACACTCTGTGCAGACTTTTATGCTAGCTCCTGCAGAGGGCTGAGTCACTGGCCCCAAACTAAAGGGACCTCTGATCCAGTTTAGAAAACAGAAATGATAATTTTGAAGAAATAACTTCGAGTTCATCAATTCACTCCAAGGAACTTCAAAATTTCATTTTAAGCCTGATTCAGTTTAGAAGTCCAATTCTGGCCAAAAAACAGATTTGAGCTGAAATTCCAATGAAGACCAAAATTTGAAGTCTTCATCTCACAAACTATTCAAAGCCTCACATCACAAAACCTCTCATTTTAATTCCGATTCTAGGACATTGTGAAAAAGAGAGAGAATTCACACAAATTAAATAAGCTACTCACTGAGCCGGTGATAATCCAGTTTTTGCGGGACACAAAGCGAGCAGCTCTCACTGGAAGGTCACAAACCTCAAAGGACTTGATGAGTTGCTGGAATAAAAAAAAAATTAAAAAAAAATAAAAAATTGAAAATTAAAATAAATTATCAAAATAGAAATAACTGAAAAAAGTTAAAATTAGATAAACTTTTGAAGAGATAAAAATGACTACTTGCCTGATAAAATTGAGATCAAGAAGAGGATTTTTAAAAAATTTTTTTTAAAACATTGTATAATTGGATAGTTTCTACTGATTTCTCTGTGACCGATCAACATTGCTTTTGAGAAAACATTAAATTACTACTTTGTAATAAAACTGAAGATTAGAAAATTCCTTAATCCTTTGCTTGTCGAGGGCATTTTTTGTGTGTACTATCCAAATGTTTATACTTGTTTTCAGATTTATAACTACTGCAAGGCAACTCAGCTTATTTGGCAGATAGAATGGGTTGATATATCTTCATCATCCACTTGATTTTTGTAATCGTAGGGCAGATCTGAGTGCAAAAGCCACAATTAACTCTTTTCCACAACGGTCTATCAACGGCAGCCATCAGCAGTTCTGGTACAGTCATACCTGTCCATTGTCTGACATTGTCCAACCAGTTTTTGTGTTGATGTACTCTCCTATGTCCACCTTCAACGGTGCCTTGCATGATGGTCTTGAACAGGCTCTCATGCCTTGCTGATATATAGCATTTCACATAATAAAAACGTACGGATCATAAGTTATTTACACTATGTTCTGTGTATCACATGTAATGCACAGGTTTTTATTATGTGAATCACTTTATATCAGCATATTCTATTTGCCAAATAAGTTGAGATGCCATGCAGTAGTTATAAATCTGAGTTCAGTCTGAAGTCGGGTGACCGGCTGAACTCTCTGCCTTCGGGTGTTTATACGGGTTCAAAGGACATATTTTTGGCTGAGCCCATGGGCTCGGAGATCCCATGTTAAACCGGCCTTGTGCCACATGATACCCCCGTGGGGTGGGGGCTGGGTTGGGGTGACTAAATACCGTTATAAATCTGAAAACAGGCAAACATCCTGCAGTCATGTATGATGAAAAAGATATTAGATTGGGCCTTTCCTCAGATGTCCTGCATATATAGTAGACTCTTTTTTTAAGTGTCCTTAGTTTTTCCACTCTTTTAAAATCATTGCACGTCTGCACTATATATGGTGCATGAACGTGGATATCACATGATGCATAAAACAAGCTAAGTGTTAATAACCGGGTTCCTGCATGAGTTTTCATTTTTTGCTAGTGACATTCCATCATTGCCAATCAGACCCAAGATTTTCACCAATCTCAATAAACGGATGTTCCTTAAGGGAAGCCCTGTGTCTTGAGTGCCTATTTGAACTTAAATTCAACTTAGAACTTAATTGGAATTTGCACATATGATCTATTGCTAAAGATGCTGGAAAAATGGTCAGCTCCCTGTACCACACCCCTAAGTACCTGACTCTTCCTGCTATCCTCTACCGTTACAAGAGCTAGATCAGGCCAAAAATGTAGTACTGCTGCCATATATGAGCAGGTGCTGCCCAGTTTTCACTTTCCAAACTCAATAGAGACCAAAAGTGTCTCTGTATCCTCGTGAGTGACAAATTGTTTTCCACTTTACACCTCCTTTCTCACAGACAAAACATTGCAATCTTCTCACTGCCCTATCACCATTGCTTAGCTTTTGGAAGGAATCTCTCACTATCCCAATGCACCTACAGATTTCTTAAGTATTTACAAAAGGTTTTAGCATCCTCTTTTTTGAAAATTAGAGATTGAATTCATAGTGGAAACTGTTTTTTGTTTTGTTAATAAAGATGCTAGATTTTTCTTTATTTTTTTTCTTTCTTGTTTATCTTATCTTTTCTTCAGTTAAGACCTGCCATGCCACATGCATTTTTAGCAAATCATCCTCATTCATTTCCTATTCCATTGGTGAGATGCAATTTCCACTTGAGCAACTTCTTCCCATGAGCTGCTGCTTTGTGGAACCGACTCTCAAGAGGATGCTTTCTCAATCACTACAATATTAACTAGGATTAATCATTATCTTCCCCACATATTTGCATAAACAGTGACTCTTACTTGGTAAGCCTTTACCTTGAGTGGCTCTTAGGGGTTGTACAGGGTGAATATCATTGTAAAAAAATAAAAAATAAAAAAAATAAACATCATCATTCAGTCAAATTATTTCCCTCAGTTCCCTATGAACTTCAAGCATCTCTTTGTATATTCAATCATAAATGAATTCCAGTTTTGATTAAAGGCATTGTTTCTATACTTTGAATTTGTTAGAATTATTAACATGGCAAGTGTTGTCTAGAACAAAACAAGTGATATCCTGAAGGTGGTAGATCTGGAGTATATGCTTCATGCAGAAGAACTTCCCATCCCAGCTCCATAATCATTTACTGCATCATATTTGCTTGTGATGGTGGGAAGGGAATAAATAATTTATTATAATTACCAACTATTCAGTAACCCCTTGCATCATAGTGGCTTTATAGACTAGCTTTGGGTGAAATGATTGAATAAAAAAAAATAAAAATAAATGATTGACTTACTTCCCTTAAATTTTTTTTTTTTGTTGGATTCCGTGTATTTCTGGCTTCAGTTCTTCAGATCCCAATGCGACATCATAGCATCAATAACAAATAATTCCTTTTTCTTATCTCACTTTATTATACGAGAGACAGTATTGGTAGCATTGTTTCTAGGAGGATTGACTTGTTTTTTATGGCTTATCAATTGTTTGTAGGTTATTTCAAACCAAAACATTTTAGATTGTAGGAGGTCACTTGCAGTATCAAGCATTCCTTCATACTGACCAAGCTTGATGTTGCTTAACTTTGGTGCTCGGACAAGAACCAGTATTTTCAGCATGATTTAACCATAGGTGTTTTTAGGGGGAAGCTAGAGGGAGAATCAACGGAATGTAGGTTAGGATTTCACATACTACATGTTGACTTGCCTCACCGAGAAATCTAGGTGCAGGTTGATGATTCAAATTATTGCAGCCATCTCCATGTCTTTGCACCGTTTTGATCATATATAGAAAACTTAAACAAAGACAATCCATCACTGACAGAATTCTACATCCATCGTACCTTCTGACCAGCAGTTTGCCATTCTGGGCCAGCTTCTGTATTCCGTAACATTGCATAGTAACAGGTCCAAGCAATTGAAAATAATAAATATTTTATCTATTTTTTGGCAATACGTGTTAAAGAGTTTCTATTGAATACTATGGTTATATATCAGTGTCAAGATATTTTAAGGTATCTAGCAGTGGCATGGAATGCAGAATGAAGTATACTACCAAGCACAGAAAATGTGTATTAAATGTATTTGTGTTCCAGCAATTCATAACCAATTTTTTTGAATCATATCAAATACAAAAAAAAGATCCCCCCTCTCTATAGATTCCATTTTAGTAATAGTTTTTGTCTGGCTTCCAAGAATTTACAATAAATTTTTGTCTGAATTTTTTAGATGAGGAAATATCTTCATTATTATACACCAATTTATTCAGACTATTATTTCCACCACTAGATTGTCCTATGGCACAAACAGACTAAAAGAGAATAGTTTACTTGGCAGTTAGATTTCAATCCCTGGATCAGGCAACACAAAAAGTCATTCTCTCTGAGTCAGTATTAGTGACAAGTGATGTAACAAGGATTAATTAACTGATACAAGATATCCTCTAGCACAGGGACATCCAACCAGTGGCCTATTGCACCCTAAAATCTTTAGGTATATTTTTTATTTACTTTAATAATGTATATCGATAAATTTATTCTTAGATTGTGCTAGTAGGTTCACTCGCCTATAGCACTAAAAGGGTAAGAGGGCAAAGGCTTTTGCTGAGACACACAGGCTGGTGTGTGGGGCAAGAGCCAGGGCTAAATAAAAATTATTTAGCTTATTTAAAAACCTGTTATGCATGTGGGATAGTAAATACTTCTGTGAACAATTCTTTTTGTGCATGAAAATCATCAAAACTGCTGAAAGAAATAGACTGAGTGATTTCCACTTAACTAACATTCTTAGAATAAAGACTAGTACCATAAAAGCAGATATTAACAATATTATAAAAGGATAGCAATGTCAAAAATCACATTGAATTTTTTTTTTTTTTTTACTATCAATAATACACTATTTTTTTGTAATTATGTATATTTGTTATTAAAATTTGATATTCACAACATTTTGAATTTTTTTGAAAGCATATTTATATAAAGTACTTTTGTGGCCTTGTGAATATACCTACATTTCTAATTTGGCCCATTAGGAAAAAAGCTTGAACAACCCTGCTCTAACGTATATGTTGGAATCAGAATAATCTATCCTTGTGGATTGAATAAAGAGATTTGTTTGAAATTCCCAGAATATTACCAACTACTTGTTTGTATCAAATACAATTGCTGTCTGGAATATTTATACCAGAAGGATTTTGTTTTATTCCTGGAACTAAAGAATTGTGCTGGAGAAAATTATTTGAATAAGCATGTCATATCAAATAAGTACTGGGCCAGAGCCAAAACCAAAGGAAATAATTTAATTGTACTAAAGTAGTATTTGGTACACTAGAGTAAAATATAGACATCTGAAGTGGGCTCGACGATACAACAGTTGAAACATTGTAACCACCAAGATGAGGGTATTAGTCTAAGAGAATAATAAACCCATTAGGATTTCACCAAATACTGAAAATATTTTTTCTTCTGTAAACTCCATTTTAGGTTTAGATATGGAAGGCTGTCCTGTATTTTTCATTTTAGATTCTTCTAAATCCATTAAAAACAAAACAACAACAAAAAAACCCCAAAAAAACACTAGTGACTATCTTGTCTAAAAATGACTTTTCTGCATTAAAAGACAAATCTTTAAATGCTGATCACCACTCTTATCTTTGTGCTCCCATGGAACCAATTTTCCCAGCATCTGAAATCTGAATTTTCCTTAACACTTGTAAATGACATACTATGTTCGAGTGATTGCATTAACAATAAAGAGCCTAGTAAACTTCAAAGATACTTCTAAGATTTCAGTAACATTGTGGAGGAACAAAAAAAAAAAAACTAGTGCTAGGAATTTTTGCATCAACCTAATACTTACCTGTGATTCAAGATTCCAGATGTGTACATTTCCATTGTACAAGCTAGCCAGCATCCAAGGCTCTGACGGATGAAGATCCACACATTTTACTCGGTCTGAACGAGCAGAGAGCTTTCTCTTAATGTCTAATCGAAGAGGCTTAAAAAGAAAGAAAAAGGGAATAAATGATTCAGTTAGACATAATCTTCATGCATCACTGCTGTTTTCCTGCAAAGGGTCATAAAGAAATTTACAATACAAATATGAAAATGTTCTTTGTACCTCAATATTATAGATATGAAAGTCCTTTCACTTTTATGCATCTGTACAATGTGCAGGAGTTATAGCCATGGAAAATAGGAGTGGGTTGCTGAGTGCAAAATCCAGCCAGAGCTTTTGCACTAATACTCTTGGGAAAGATATGACTATCCCTTCTTTACATTATGGGTGAAATAGCAGGACAGTCTGAGCTGTCAAGCACTTGTTTTCTATTTTCATCAATATTTTATAAAAAGAAAAAATGGCGCACAAACTACGACAAAAAAATATATTTGGCATCAAATAGAATAAATATATCAAAATTTTAATTTACTCTAATTATATATTTATGGACAAAAGATTTCTCATGGTGATGGTAGGGAAGATAAATAAAAATCAGAATTGTGTTTTAGCCCTAACTGCATTTGAATACATTATCTACAGGTGGAAGACAAATTCAAAATCCATAACCAGTTGGATGTGGGGGCTAGCAACTCCACCCTATGTAAATCTACTTGCTATACAGTAATAATATGTAGAGGGGCTGTGGTACTATGTTAAGTAGTCCACAAGGTAATTGACCGATTCTGCCTTTTACTTTGAGATATTGGAAATGCTAAAATAAAAATGGTTCCAAGATTATCGAATATTGAGGTTTTAGGCCAAATTGGTCAGAATTTATACATAGGATTGAATAAAAGGATTGAGTAGGCACATAATATTATTACAATTCTTGTAATCATATGGAAGCTATACCAGGATGCTAGTTGGGAAATGTTTGCTCTTGGCTGGGCCCATGGGAGAGAAAGTCTGATGTTATAGAAGCCTGAAACTTTCTATGACCCCAGAACAGACATCACTGAGGAAGTATAAAACAAATGACAGTGCTTTATTTTTTAAATTTTATCTACACAACCAAAACATTTATAATCTACAATTCATTAAATTGTTTTAATTTCATTTTTCTCACCAGAATCTATCTTACACATTTATAAGCTTACCATTAGTCCATACATTGAATATTGCTATCACATCTGATCTGGTGCTTCTGCTATGTATTTAGAGATTCTTGATAAAATTCAAAGAAGAATCTGCAATGTTATTAGTCCTGACCTGGCATCTTGACCTCAGTCATTTTCCCACCACCATAACATAGCTTCACTGTGCCTTTTCTATAAATATTTTCATAGTAATTGTTCTGAGGTGTTTTCCTCTTTAGTACCTAGACATTACAAATTTAAGCATAGTACTTGATTGGCAGCAAGGTCTCATCATTTTATAGTTGAAATGGCAAGATGTAACTGTAAATTCTATGCTAATGGTTTCTTCTTGCTTGTAGAAATGTTCCAGCTTTTTGCTTTTCAGTCAAGTTTGATCTTCAAAAATTTAAATGCAATGTCAATCATTATCATCTGTCTTTTTAATTCCTGTTTTTTTTTTATTATTCTTTCTCCTTAAGGTTTTCTTTTTCTCATATTCTCTAACACTCAGTAATCCTTTGCATCTTAGTAGTTTTATTGCCTTGCTTGGGGTGAAATGATTTAAAAAAAAATATAAAAGATAAAAAATTAAATTTAATCTACCATTTATAAAAATGAAACTTTTTTGCAAGTAGAGTTTCTTTGAAGACATTCTATATGTGAAGGTTATTCTTTATTTATAACAAAATAATTAAATTTAATGATTCAAGTACAATATTACATTTTCAGTCTTAATTATCTATCAACAATGCTTACACTAATTCCTAACAGCTGAACATACTGTTTTCTTCATTTGCAATGCATAACACACAGAGTGTGAACCAAAACTTGCTAAAAAATTTGAAGGCAAAATAGATAAATATAAAATACCATGTTTAATCAATCCCCTGAACTCTCAGTAACATTTAGGCTATTAATGCAGAAAATAAAAGCTAAATCAAGGAGGAGTAAAATAGAAGTTAGGTGGCAGAAATAAGAAATGGTAACTTAAATAGAAACAGATAGATAAATTAATTTTGTTTTTAAAGCCATGTTCGTTCAGATTAAAGGATTCCCTTTCTTTATCTGTGACTTGCCATGATTTCTTAGGAAACAATGGTTTCCTATTGCCTTCTCCAGTTTTGAATTCACCTATATGCATAAACTGGGCCTCTTACAGAGTGAACCTTACTAAAAAAAAAAAAAAAAAAAAAAAAAAAGGGGAATAGGCTGTCTCGTAGATTGACTGCTACTTAAGGTTGGGAGCCCAGTGTACTCTATTTACTCTATAGTGAGAGAAGAGATAGATTCACACCTTTATTAATAACATTAATGTGAAAGTGAATGCAAGACTAGACCAGAATTTGAACTTTGATTGCAGATTCCATTTTCAGTATGATTAACACTTATGTCACTCAAATATCCACAACTTGTATATGTGTTCAAATGCAGTTTGAGCTAAAATACAATTGGTATTTTTATTTAGCCCTTCAATACCATCACCATGAGAAATTTGTTGCCTCTAAATATATAATTAGAGTAAATTAAAATTTTTATGTATTTAATTTGACTGCTACCAAGTATATTTTTTGTTGTAGTTCATATGTCATTTTTTTTCATATATTGATGAAAATCTTCATTGTATTTTTAAAACACTTATTTGCATACAAATCAATATGAACACCACAATATCTAACAAATGTAACAATATGTACATAAATGTTAAAAATGTAATATTTAAAATTCAAAAAATAAAATAAAAAATAAAATAAAAATTATAAATATTAAAAATGTAATGTAACACTTATTTGCATACACATCAATATGAACATCCCAATATCTAACAAATGTAACAATATGTGCATAAGTGTTAAAAATGTAATGTTTAATAATTTAAACAAGTATGAAATATCTTAAAACATGACTACACAAAAAGAACAAAGTTGTGCAGTCAGTTGTCATACCACTTCTGCAAATACAAATACCCTTTGTAAATACACAGATTTCCTTTTTTTATTCTTTCACAAAACAGTAACATCTTGTGAAAGAATAAACTATAGAAGATTAGTTGACTTATGCATACCACTGATGACTATCTAAAAATGAGTTATCTCATTCATGACAGCAAAGAGGTTAAACCCTACTTGTGAGGTCACAGGTTACATCAACAGCTTGTATAATAAATTTGTTGCACAAAACCTTAACTTAGAGTAACTTTTCTCTCTCTCTCTTTTTTTTTTTTTTAAAATAACAATGGTAAGTTATGTAATGCCTCATTTCAATTTGAGCAACAAATCCCTGTATTGGTTACATATACAAGTAAAATAAAAATAAATGATTTTATACACTAAGTGGTATTAAAAAAATAATCTTTAGCAGCTATGCTAAAAACAGACCACACAAAATTTTCTCAATTAATGTAAATGTGTATAAAAAGAAAAGAATATTACTTTGTACAAAAAAAAAAATAAAAATAAATAAAAAAAATAACTATGATAGCAATATTTAATATTTTTTCATTTGCATTGGTTCTCTATACGAGTAATCTGGAATCTTATCGATACCAAAGTGATAAGATCTAAATGTAATTTTAACTAGATCATATAGTCAGTTTATAAACCAGTAAGAAACTTTTACCAAATAATCTTAATATGCTTTTGAATATTTATTACAAAGGTGGTCAGTGGAAAATTTTTCCATATGAAAGTGGGCAATGACACAAACGAAATGTTTTGGAACCCCTGGAATAGATCATCAATATTCAAATTAATATTGATTTTTCTTTTATGTGCCATATCTCTTCAGTGCATATGCAATCATGGCTCTCCACAACTTCCTCTTCCTTGTGATTCTATGCAACATTTGATTCCTTGTTCTGCTATACATTCATATTAACTTATTAAGTAGGCTACTGTTTGCTCACTGCTTATTTTGCACTGTAAGTTAAATTTCTTAGGACCTATTATGATTAGGAAACTACTACTACTACTACTATAAAAAAAAAAAAAACAAAGAGATTGGCAGGAGTTGCATATTGATTTTTTTTTTTTTTTTACTAATACTGATTCTATTGATTAATAACTTCAAAGCAAAATGACAATTTCTTTGTTTACTTTATCAATCACTCCTCCTCCCACAACCTTATGTAAGGCTTTCATTGCTAATCACCTGTTACCCAGAAGGTTAAGTGACCTGGATATGTAGAGGGAGTGAAGAAGTATAATGTAAGAGCCAATATAGTAGGAAGAATGATAACTGCAAGTGAAGACAGTAATACTTACAATTATTATATACCACGTGGTAGGAATTTTTATTATGCAAACAAAATTTCTATGATCATATACCATGGGTGGCCAAACAGCTGCTTGTGAGCTACATGCGGCTCTTTGAACTTTATTTAATATGTAGCTCGTGGAAATATGTTGGCTGAGCTCCTTTTTTTTCATCACAGTTAATATAAAAAGCAAATAAGAAAAATTTCAATTTTGTTCATGCCTTGCGGCTGTCAAACATCTGAACTTTATTGTATGTGGCTCCTTACATTAACCTTTAACACTCTGCATTATTCACTACTTTCCTTTCCACTGCATTGTTTTTCAAGGCTTTTCTACTGCACTACTTAACTTAGTTTCAGTCATGGTCATTTTCTATTGTCTAACAAGATATGACAACACAACTGCAAAAAAAAAAAAAAAAAAATAAAAAATAATATCAATCACCATTATTCATTCATCTGAGTCACTTGCAGGGACAGGATAAAATTTTTGCTTTGCATACAAAATCACCTCCAGTATATTAAAGGTTAAGCAAGTTTGGCCACCCCTGTCCTATATTAATTGTAAGGGCAACTCAGAATGAAGTAATGATCAACAAGTTCAATCCTTACTGGGCGCTCCTGCCCAAAAATTCAACATTAAGCCAACAGGGGTTGAATTGTAAAAT